TACAATCTGCTGAGTCTGCATTGTGTCCCCATCCTCACTCTTCCTCATCCGCTGTTGGTTAGTAACCACAGAGACTCCTCCTCCTCCTCTGTAGCCATTGTTCTTTAAATCTTGCTGAGTTTGTTGCTGATGGAAAATGTTCCTAAGCATTAAATCAACATCCCCTCTACACACACACACACACACACACACACACACACACACACACACACACACACACACACACACACACACACACACACACACATACACACACACACACACATATTCTAGCAGCTGCAGCCAGACCTGGACGGGTTTCTGGGTCTCTACGGCCTCATCATGACCGGCATGTTCATCAAGGAGAAGGTGGGTCCAAACCCAACAGAACCAGGCAGAACCAGGCAGAACATGTTTCCATGACGGGTCAAACCAGGAACACATTATTATTTAAGACCAAGATTATCATAATCAAGAAGACAGATCAGTAAACTTTACATTTTAATGACCATTTAGCTCTAGAACTGGAAAACATTTTAAATATCTAAAATCAATAAAACAAGTGAAATAAAATATCAAAACTATCCTTCAATAAAAAGCTGGTTGAGATTAAAACCTGTTTGTTTGGTAGAAAAAGGAAAACAATAAACAGTTTTCCTGAAACATTAAGTCATTTTTCTGCCTTTAACACATTCAGCAGCGAATACATGAGGATGATTGACAGCACTAAGCCCCTCCTCCTGGCTCTGATTGGTGGTTTTTGCTGCAGGTCGATATTTTCACAGTCGATCAGCTTCATAACAAACTGTCATCACAAACATATTTTTATAAATTCGTTCTTTCAGACGGTTTGTGAGTTTTCAGAACTTATTCTGGACCTTCTGTGTTCCAGTTCTTCAGAACCAAAGCGAAGGGCTCAGACGATGGAACCTACGCTGTGAGTCCCGTCGTCTCGTCGTGTCGCAGCTCAGATTTTCTCTTGAATTCGTCTTCATGTGTTTTTGTGTTCAGTCTCTCAGCAGAGCGACGGGCGACACCTACGAGCCGCTGATGACCGACCCGGAGCGAGGACGGGTGAGTCCAGATGTCCGGTTCTGAAGGTTCTGGTTCTGTTCAGATGCTTCATCTTGTTTCTTCTCGTTGTGTCTCTCAGAACCGCCGAGCGCCGGATGACTCCACCTACACGGTACCAGACGAACCGTCCAGAACAGAACCGCAGTGACCTCTGGATGTTTATCTAACTGGTTCTGTTTGGGTTTCAGGGCCTGCAGAAACGATCAGAACCGACGTATAAAGAGCTTCCTGTGAGGAGAGAGGTGAGCGTCTGAACACGATGAGGTTCTGTCAGGTTCTGGAACCGGTTGCATTAAAAACTCTTGTTTTTGCAGCGTCAGCGGAAGAACGAGCAGGTTTACCAGGTGAGTACCGACCGGACCGGACCGGACCGCTCCGACCCGTCCAACATCTGCTCTGATCAGCTGATTGATTAACTGATGGGATGCTTTCAGGGTCTGAGCTCGGTCACCAGAGACACCTACGACTCCCTGCAGATGCAGCCGCTTCCGGCCCGCTAACCGGGTCGGTTCTGAAGAATCCTGCAGATCAGCACCAAGTTTTACTCTGATTGGACCCGACGGCTCCTCAACATCTGGGAATTTAAGGCTTTTCCCACCAGATTTGGAGCTTTAAAATTCTGAAATATGACAGTTTTTTATTTAGTGCTCATCAATGTGATCAATAGTTTTGATTAGTTTAAATGGAAATCAATAATTCCACTCATTAATTAGCATTCTATGCCGAGAAGTTTCACTGTTGTGTAAATATTTGTATGAGGATGAGAAACAGGAGGAAACCTGCTCAATAGTTTCTGCTTCTAATGTCTGACTGTGTGAAGTCTGAAGAACCTGAAGTCAGTTTGAACTGGATGGAAACACAAGAAGGACAATTTAAACACATTTAGTCAAATCAGAGATAAATCAAATGAAAATAGATATTTAGGTTAACATTAATATGATGGACATTATGATCATTTAATTGTTATTCTGCTGTTTTTAATCATATTTCTTGTCTCCTATGACTCATTTTTATTAACTTTTGTTGTTTTTTATGTTTTCCTGAGAATTTCTGCTGTTTTTAGAATGTTATTAAATGTAAAGCTTTTATCTGATGATTAAATGAGTCTTAAATAAACATCTGTTACTCATTTCTGCCTCCTGGTGGACAGAATGAAGGTTTGCAATAATAAAGATTTACCTATAATTTATTCAATTTTGCCAGTAGAATTAGTTACTTATTTAATTGGAAGATTGTTTCACTCATAATTTGGGTAAATGTTGTGTTATCAGTGAAATAATCTGCATGATTCATCAATATTAAGAAATAATTGACTGAAAAGAAGCTCATGTGTTTTGCTGAAGTTATTAGTCACTGGCTCCCAGTGAGGGACCAGACCAAGAGCAGCAAGAGACCAACTAGAACTAGAAGTCAGGGTTTCCTCTGCTTCATCAGCCTGCTGGGCTGATACTGTTGTACTGTAGTGAGAAGGGGCGGAGCCTGAGGTGAGTCAGGAACAATAAGATCAGGAGAAACAGATTATTCACTTTTTATCAGTAAAACAATCAGAGGAGGGCTTCACAACCCTCCTCTGAATTATGACACTCAAAACTTTGTAATATTTTAACCCAAAAACGCAGCGGGCCGCTGATGGACGACCTTATGACCCCACCCTGAAGTGTTCCCAGGTAATTCCTGCATCAGGAATTTTGTGTTAAATGATATTTACTAGTTTGATTAACATTGATCTGAAACCTTCACCTTCCATTTATGACACATCAGAAAAAGTTCCTGCTGGACGGATCTTAATGTTTGGAGGTTGAACCTTTTTTTTTTCAGGCATGTTGGCAACGAGGAAACATTCCTGCACAGCAGAGACAGAAACTGGTAAACATCTTCCAGTGAACGGCTGCAGCAAGTTAAAACCTGTTTGTAACTCTGCAGGTTTTTAATTTTCGTTGGAAACGTTTGAGACAAACTAGTTGAACAACTTAAAGCCTCCATCTAAGAGAGGCCAAAGATTAAAGAAGTTTATGTTCAGTAGTGAAGGAGGATCAGGTGAGAATCATCATGGAAAGACCAAAGATAAAATGAAAAATAAAAAAGATTAGAAACTGAAAAAGTTGTGAAATCTTTGCCATTTAGGAAAATGTTAAACTTTAAAAAATGTTGTGGACTATGTTTCAGATTCTTTATTTATTATTATTATTATTATTATTATTATTATTATTATTATGACTTTAAATGAACTTTCTGGCCAAAATTTAGCATCAGAGCTAAAAAGATAATTAAATGTGTAGCAGTTGAATGATGTTAGCTAATGCTAATGCTAATTAATGTCTATGGTGACCTTTGACCTTCCTGCCAGGGTTCTTGAGTTATTCTGAAATGTTTGTTTTTTTTAGAAAAGTAAAAAAACTATTTTAAACAGGATCAGGAACTGAAGTCGGTCATGTAGTGAAAGACGACTGGATGGATCCGACTGACTGAAACTTTAACAACAAACATCCACAAGTTACTGGATGATAAACTATTTCCTCCTTTCTGGGTCTTTTTCTTCTGCCCAGATCATTGATTAATATCTGGATCAATACAGTGGAGATGCAGAGGAGATAATAATGTTCCTGTAAAGCTGATCACAGTCAAAAGACGTTTTTACACCAAGATTGAATCAAACTGACGACTTTAAAACTTTTACACAGTAATGTTTCATTTTTAGATGTTGTCTTTCATTATTATTGTAGCAGAATGAAGCCTGCCCTCAGGATTGAGGACATGTGGCACCTATTGCCTCATAATCAGTGTGAGCATAAAGGAGACTCTCTTCAGTGGGAAGGTCACCTGGTTGACTTGCAGTGGTCGAAACTCTGAAATCAGTAAGTAATGTTTCTCCTTCTGTATAAGGCCTGTAACTTGAGCTGGATAATTCAAATAGTTTAAATCTAGAAGCTGCCTGAAGTCTCCTGTTTGATGGTGGGGTGTGGCTGTAATTTACCCTCCCCAGTTCAGCTTGGCAACAGAAAACGGCTCAGTAGTTTTATATTGTACTCATGCAGTTCAATAACATGAAATGACAATTATTTTCTATATTAAACATACTGGCAATCGGATCCTCCTGCCATTTGGCTGGAAGGCTCTCTGGTCGGGGTGGAGTCATCCAGCTCTGCTAGGTGACAATGGCTTCCTCTTCCTCCTGCCATTTTTCTAAATCTCTCCTATTAATCTAACTTCATTTCAGACATAAAGCTGCTGCAGCTCACTGGAGGCCCTGCTGCTTTGTTTTTGCTTTGTTTGTTTTTTTATATCCTGCTTTGTTTTCAACTATTGGTTTCTGGGTTTATCATTTTTGATTAAATTTGCTTTGTTTGACCCCATCCTCTTGTCTCCAGGCTGAAGGCAGTAAGGGTGGTGGGGGGGCATCCAGGGGCCTGGACCCGTGTGATGTGCAAGTGACCAGTGTTGGGATTTCTTCACGATCAAGTGTCTGTTCACAAGAGCTCGGTGATTTATTTTGTTTTAGGAACCAGGACCCCACATTTGGGCTGGTAAACCTCAGTACGATGCAAATCTTCCCATTGTGGTTCTTTAATTTTTGTTTTTAAAACATGGATCAATGATATTAACTATATTATGGTGGAATAAAGTTTTGTTCTCGTTGTTTACGAACCTTAAGTGCCTTACTGACCAAGTTCTTGGGTGCAACTCCCAACGTGGCGTTGACACCTGTTGGTCACCCTGGTTTGAAGGGGCAGAGGAGTCGATCATATACTCGTGTTGCCACACGATTATTTTTACCTTTAATCTGCAGTAATGAAAATGGTTCCTCTCTTTGCTGCTCAGGTTATAAATGTTCAAACTGGTTGAACTGGTGGATGAAGAACTGGAGGCTGCAGAGCTGACAGGCTGGAAAACCATCAATCTGTCCAGATCTTCTGATCAGAACCAGAACCAGAACCAGGCACCAATAGAGAGCAAATCATTTAGTTTACAAAAACTAAATGAGCAAACTGAGGAAGGAGGAAACATTCCTGCACAGCAGAGACAGAAACTGATAAACATCTTCCAGTGAACGGCTGCAGCAAGTTAAAACCTGTTCAGCAGGTTTTAATTTTCGTTGGAAACGTTTGAGACAAACTATTTGAACAACTTAAAGCCTCCAGGCTAAAAGAGACAAAGATTAAAGAAGTTTATGTTCAGCAGTGAAGGAGGATCAGGTGAGAATCATCATGGAAAGTTTCCTTCATATCAACATTAAACAAGATTAAATAAATGAATAAAATCTGTATTTAATATGAACATGTCAGATGGAGAAACATCAACATTTCAAGGTTCTTGGTTCTGTTGGCTCAGATCATAAAAGCAGCAACTATTATTACTTTTATTTGTTAAATTTCTTTATAGATGAAACTGAAAATCTCCATTAATTTAATAAAAATTGATTAAAATCCTGAATATGTTTCAAACTTAAAGAAGCTTTAAACCTAAACGTGAACTTGTTGTTTAACATTTATTTCCTGGTTTCTTGTTATTCAACAGGTGAACACACCTCTGCTGTCAGGGGGCGGAGCCTCAGGTGGGTCCCATTAAAGTTCTGGAGAATCGGTCCGGTTCTCCAGTTCGCTCCCACTGGGTTTGTGTGAACAGAAGGAGAAGCAAAGATCTGATCAGGTGAGTTTTAACTCCACATTCTTCTGGTTTCCAGTCCTGACTGGTTTCTCTCTCTGAGCTGCTGGTTCTGGTTCTGGTTCTGGTTCTGGTTCAGCTGAGATGTCTGGTTCCTGGTTGGTGGATGAAAATATTTCAATATGAAGTCAATAATTTATTGATCAGGGAGGATTTCTCCAGATTGAATCAGTCTGTGGAGCCAGAAGACAGCTGATCACATTTCAATCAATTATTGATCAGTAAGAAGTGATTATGGTGAAATATAAACACAGCGCCCCCTAGAGTTTTTAAAAACATCCACTGCTGTTATTTAGACCTGAACTGAGTTAAAACGTCAAACCATCAGAACCAATAAAAATACTATTGGACCCGTTTACACACCCAGCAGGAAGTCGGCCATTTTGGATCAAATGTCTTGTTTGTTAGTTTGTTTGTTTCAATAGTGATGCGTAAATGACGCGTCATGAAACGTTTCCACCCCTTTACAAAACTGTATTGATAATGTGTCACTCAATAGTGACACCTGGACATTAAACATCCCTACAGGCAAAGCAGTTGACAGACATATTTCATGACCTGGTCTATATAATAAGACTTAAATCATGGTATTTTATTGTATTTATAAATTGTATTATGTCATCGGTTAAATTCTAAATCTTAGATTCTAAATTTGATATTCTTCGATTCAGTCAATAAATGAAGTGAACATGGACCATAAAGTGAAAATTTAAGTGAATGTGTTTGGAATGAGGATGCTTAAAGACTGAGTGTTTTTATTTTTGTTTCTTCACAAATTTTCATAAAAAAGAAAAAAAAGTTTTTCAAATATTTTGAAGTTTAGTTTGTTACGCTTTTGACACACGACTTCTACTGTAGAAAAAAATGAAGTAAACAATACATTTATATGAAATAATTATAAAAAGCCACTGAGTAATTAGTAGAATGATTATATACCTGAGTTTCTCCAGGTGTGTCTGGGATTCATTCTGATGCCCTGTGATGCCTCAGCATTGAGAAGGTGAATTTATTGAAATAAGACATTTCTGTCAAAAATGTGCAACTCTAAACCTGCAGAGCATAATATGAAAGTAAACTAACAGCTGAATTTGGATTCAGATAGATCAAGTAGAAAGTGGAAAGAACCGGATGAAACAACGACAAAGTGAAAACCAATTCCTTATTTTCTAATTAAGATCAAAATGGTCAAAATTACAAAACCTTTTGTTTGCTTTGAAAGGTTTCATAGTTGTCGCTGTACCGTAAAAGATCAAGAATTAGTTTGGAAATGCATCAAGTTGACAGATTTGCTTCCTTATAAACACAGTTAGGCGCCTCAGTGTCATTTCAGTTCCTCTTGGTCATGTGACTGGATGAAAGCAACACGCACCGACACGATGTTTCGTCTAAGGGCTTCATGTATGCGCCAACACATCGGTGTTGCTGGACCCATCACTATTTTTGACATTTTGACCTTCCAAGTAAAAAGTGAACTAAAAATCTGAGGTTTGTTTGTGAAAGCTCAGATGTTTGAGCTTCTTAAAAACCAAGAAAACTTTCCTCCACTCCGACCGTCGCTCTATTTCTGAGGCTCATTCTGTTTTTTTAATAATTCAGCAAATATCTGATGAATTATTGGTTCAACCACAGTAATAATTTTTACAAACCCTTAATAGTAAGTCTGAATTATTGAATTATTCCACTGACGGATATTTCCAGTCCAGTTCAATTGGTGGCAAGATTTTGACCTTTGACCTTTGTGCTTGTGTGTTTTAAATAAATACTTTTGGGTACTTTTAGTTTCCATTCCAACTGCATAAGATAAAGTAAATTATTCATGACATAAAGTCTGAAAACGTAATGAATCCTTCATGTTTTCCAGATAAAAGATGGCGCAGCAGCAGGAAGTCCAGCAGGAAGTGGATTTTGGTAAGTGATCAGAAGCAGAAATGAACCTTCATGAAGGAACAAATTGACCAATCACAGCCCGTGTTGCTGCCATGTGATGAACCTCAGCCTCAGAGTATTTATTGTTTTCATGTTTCCTGTTCAGTGAAGCTCTGCTGGAAACTGAGTTTCTGTGAAACCTGAAGATAAAATTTATCCAATAATCACATCATTTATTACTAATTTATTATCAAAGGCTGTCTCTGTCTTTTATCCCAACATTTGGTGACAGAGATGCTAAAGCTTAGAGATGGAGATTAAAAACTTGTTGAAAGTAAAAGACAGAAAAATGATGAAAATGTTAATCAGTCGATATTTTCACCAATAGGTCAGACAGAGGTCATGACTCCCTTTCTGACCTAGAACTGCCTTAAAGTTCAGTTCACAGATAAAAACTGAACACATTCACAGCCTCAGAATAAACTGGTCCATGCTGATGAAACATCCGGTGAAACAAAACTGGTCTTTTATTTTGAAAAAGAAACAGCTGCTTCCACTTAGGATCCGTTAGACTGATCCTAAAACCTTTTGAAGTAAATGAGAAGGCCAGTTCTCATATTCAATAGTACGTGATTTGTATCTGTACCTCACTCACAGTAATAGCAGCGATGAGAGAGAAATGTTATGCACTGAGCTGATATTTTTGATAAAAGAATGAAAATTAATAGTTAGGAGCCAAGATATCCCAGTGACACCAGTACGCTCTGGAGGACCTTGACAGAAAACCCAGAGCAATTTCAAAAGATTGTAGGGAAGCTGACACTCGATGCAACGATCAAAATTTTCACCAATAGAGCAATGTTTGTAGGCGTGAGAGCAAGTTAAAAATGTTCAGCTATGTAATATGAGGTAAAGGTTAGGCAGTAGAAATCAATGGAAGTCAATGGAAGTCTCACAAAGATAGTCTGACAAACGTGTGTGTGTGTGTGTGTGTGTGTGTGTGTGTGTGTGTGTGTGTGTGTGTGTGTGTGTGTGTGTGTGTGTGTGTGTGTGTGTGTGTGTGTGTGTGTGTGTGTGTGTGTGTGTGTGTGAGCATCTCAGCTGTAGGTCCTACAGACAGAGAGCTGATCGGGTCAGAACCCAGAGAACAGACACTAACAGGTTTAGTTTCTGTTTTATTCACTTTAAAGGAAACAAAGTAAAGACACAAACATGATTCCAGTTTAGACCTGAAAATGTTTAAACTCAGTTCTATCTCTAATTTCCTTCCTAAGTTCTGCAGATGTTTGTGAGGAGATGAGCCAGCAGACATCAGAAGGTCATGAAGGACTGAAGGAGAGAACAATTCAAACCAGATGTTACCTGCTGGAATCTGGTTCCTCTGATGATGGGAACCAGCTTTCTGCTTCACAGGACAGTTACTGGGACTGGATCACTGGAATGACTGGGTCTGGTTTCTCTCTCCAGAAGTCCAGAAGACGGAATATCGGCATCAAAAGAAGGAGAGAGCAGAACCTCCAGGATCCATCAGTCCATCTATGAGGAGTGACCGGTCCAAAGGAAACAACCCAAAGTTCAGTGATGAACCTGGATCCTCAGACAGAAAGTAAGAAACAGTTTCTAACTGATTCATGTGAATCTATAGAGATAAAATATAAATGATATGAACTGGTTGATCTCAGTGTTTGAATAAAAAGTATTTTTTATTGTAAATTAATTTAAAGCTGAATAAACATGAAGGATGTTGGTCAGAAAATCAGAATTTGAATGAAGGTCTGAATGAATCAATGATGAAAATGTTGCATGAAAACAAAACCAACCAAGAATGTGAAGAGCAATGGTCCAGTTTTATATACTGGGAACACTGGGTCCAGTTGATCCAGGTAGGCTGATAACCTGGCCACGCCCACTGAGCCTCAGCAGCTCCAAACAGAAAGGTCAAAGGTCAAAGCGGCTCCAGAGGACTGGGCTGGACTTGTGGTTCTGAGGTTCTTCTTCCTGGTCGGTTCTTGGGTTCTGGTCTTTCATGACCCACATCGGCTCTTCAGACCAGATGAACAGCTTTAGTTCTGATCCTCTGCTCTCCACCTTCTGCCACTAGATGGCAGCAGTGAGACTCTTTGCAGTGCATTCTGGGTATTGGAGTTTTATCAATGGATACGACAGAAGAACTTTGTGGAATAATTCCTAGAAATATAATATGATCAGCTCCATCAAACTGGAACATGAGCCTGTTGTTCTGCAGGTTCTGCTGTGACCCAGAGAAAATGTTGAGTTTGACCCAATAAATAGTCTGAATGTTTCATTCTGGAGCTTTAAACCTTCTGCTTCTCTGCAGCAGTTTGTGTTCAGAGCTTCTTCTCTGGTTTTTATCTCAGTTTCTCACTGATTGATGATCTGAATAACAACATGTTTGTGTTTCAGAGGGCAGAACCACAGATGGAGAGCAGAACCTCCAGGACCCATCAGTCCGTCTATGAGGAGTGACCGGTCCAAACCAGATCCTCCAGACTTCAGTAATGAACCTGGATCATCAGAACCAGAGTAAGAAACCAGTTTCTAACTGATTCATGTGAATCTATAGAGATAAAATATAAATTAACTGGTTGATCTCAGTGTTTTAATAAACAGTAACTTAATTTTCTTACTGATTAATTTAAAAGTTAGACATGAAGGATGTTGGTCAGTAAATGAGTTTGAATGAATTAATATGGATTAAAATGTTGCATGAAAACAAAAACATGTGAGGAGCAACAATTCAGATTGTCTGTAAACCCACTGAAGCAGTGAAACCAGCATCTTCCAGACTGGGAACACTGGCATCAGTCATCATACCAAATATAATTCAATGAAGTACTTAAAACCAGAAATCATCAATGTTCTGAGGTTCTGTTCTGACCCAGTTTCTGGTCCCTGGTTCTTTGTGGACCTTCATGAACATGTCCAGCTCCAGCCTGTTGCTAGTGAATATTTCAGTGATGAAGAAATGTCTTCACAGGAGCAGCTTTAGTGAGGAGGAGCTTCCATCCTGCTGTGCTTTGGGTCAGAATGTTCTGATGGATCCGGGCTGGACCAGCTGCCCCCAGTGTGGGAAACGACCCAGAACAGGATCTGGACCTGACAGCCAATCAGAGCAGCCGTGCTCCAGGTGAGACTGAACATGTCCAATCAGAGCTTCTTCCTTCCAGATCCACGTCTTTAGTTGAGATTTGAACATTTAAGGATTAAAAGTTTTATGTCTCAGTAACTCGACTTAATAAACTATTCATTTAATTTCAGCCTGTTCAAAAAATGGCCAAGATAAATGTACAAATTTGACTTTATTTTGTTCATTTTAAAATGATAAATGAAGACTCTTACTCTGAAGGGTCATGTTGCAGCAAGTTAAAATAATCACAATATGATGAATCTGCACATTTTAGTTAAAATCATAGACATTGTAAAACTCATAGCTGAAGGGTTTTCTGTATTTTATGTTTTCTCCTACATATTATGTTATTTCTAAGTTATTTAAGTGCCATAAGGTCTGTATTATTATTATTATAATATTAATATTGTTTTTAATTTTAAAATGAGCAGCTCTAAATAAAAACATTTCATAGAATCACTTTGATGATTCTTACAGATCATTATATTTGGGTTTCAGCACATTATGAGGTTAAGGGGAATGAACTAGCAGAAAGGATGGCTCAAGGTATTGGTTTATATTAATGTTGTGTTTAGAATAACAGAAATATAGTGTATAATAAAACAATAAAAGAAAGAGAGGTGACAAAAGTTCTAGGTCAGCAAATTGCCCACCTGCCAATATGGTTAATCTGATTCTGCTGAAAAGGATTTTTATCCTACTTTTATTGGTTATTACACCAGGCCGTTAAGGTTCTGCTGGAAAATTGCATCTTACAATTCAGAAAATGACTAAAGGACAATTCCACGAATTTCTCGCCACATTGAGCATCTTTAATGTGATCTACTTCAAAAACTAAAATGGTTTTCACGAGGCAGAAAGTGATTTTGAGCAACCTCAGAGGTCACTGAAGTCTCTGAAAAGCTCCTGGTTCAAGGTTGAGGTTCAGCCTGGAGATGATGGTAAATGTAGAATATAATAAGGAGTTATGTTACAGAAAAGCTTCTTCAGGAAGTGAATAGTTTGTGATCCAAACGTTGTTGGAGAAGAATCAGGCAGATGAATGTGAGGACAGCAGAGCTGCAGCAGCAACAGAGGAGTGGAGGACAATCTGGGGACCAACAACTAGAACAGAAACCTTTATTCACTCTGACAATATAACACAGACTGCATTATATATATTTACAGTATGAATGCAAAATGTAATAATACTAACAATCTGAGGAAAGTCATTTTAAATGTGAACATTATCGACATAATGAGTCATTTCTTTGGCAGATTAAAGCTTTTTCTCCAGATTCTTTCATAAAGGCTGAAAAATGAAGGGAGGAAACATTTTTCTGTTTCTATAAGGACAATGATGACATGATGCAGAAGAGTTGATGTTACTGAAAACTCCTGGATTCAATGACTCTGATGGTTTTGTTCCAACTTTATCACTGAATCATGTTTTTTACTACAGTTGTCTTCTGTGTTTCATTTTTAAGTCTGAATTGTAAATGTGGCAGTGAGCATGTAGAAACAGTAAAAACAGAGAGAGGAGAATGAAAACATGTCCATACATAGAGTATGCAGTATTCAGAACAATTCAAAGAGCATCAAACCTTATAAAACTGCGTTTTGAAGCCAAAATACCTGAGAATATTCAGAGCCAACCATGAGAATCAAGGCATTTCAAAATAAAACTCAGTTTCACACAAAGACGCAGCTTAAATGTTGGCTGTTGAACTGAATTGTTCAAAGTGGCAATAAAGTTAATAATCTATCAGCAGCTTCACAAATCTCTTTTATAAACATTACATTACCAAGACACATTAAAACAAACCTTTATCTTGGATTCTTTCTATTCTCCCTCTTTTCTTTCTCCCTGAATGATAAATCATTTTTTAGACATTGTTTTCCAACTTATCTTCTGATCAGAGCTTTGGACGTTTGGATCGGTTCTGGAAGCACCAGGAGTTTTTATTCTTTTGGTCTATAAAACTATGATTTCTACATACATTATCAAATATATTGTAACAAACCACTTCATGAGGAAATTGTGTGATTATGTCATTGTGATGACATAGAAATGGATATAAAATAAATCAGGTCCACTGATGGGGCCCCTTGGAGGCCCTGGGGCTGCTTAGTTTCTTGGGCCGGCCCTGAGACTGACGTTGGAAATAACTTTCTCTAATTATTGAATTATGTTTCCTTCATCAAAGTTTATGAAGAAGAACCAAACTGGCCACTTTATTAGTCCAGCAAATTGTTTTTATTTGTTTATTTTCTTTCTTTTTTCAGATATTGTTGATCTGTATCAGCCTGACCTTAAAGCGTCTCTGAAGATGATGTTCCAAGTCTCTCTGAAGGCGTCGCTGAACATGGAAATAAAACTGATCTGAACCAGATCACACTGAGCTCTACATCACAGAGTGGTCAACTAGAGAGGTCAACCAGGAACATGAGGTCAGACAGATTGAAACAGCATCCAGGAAACAAGAAACAATCAGAAGAGAAGACATCTTTAAAGTCCCACCTGGAGGAGATCAGCCAATCAGAACAGTGATGACCATGGGCGTGGCTGGCATTGGGAAAACACTGTTAACACAGAAGTTCACTCTGGACTGGGCTGGCAAAACCAACCAGAACATTGAGTTCATATTTCCATTCACCTTCAGAGAACTGAATTTACTGAGAGAGAAAAAGTTCAGCTTATTAGAACTGATTCATGAACGATTCACTAAAACCAAAGGAATCAGAAACTTTGAATCGTTCCAGGTTCTGTTCATCTTTGATGGTCTGGATGAAAGTCGATTTAATCTGGATTTCAAGAACAATCTGATCCTGACTGATGTTACAGAGTCCAGCTCAGTGGATGTTCTGCTGACAAACCTCATCAGGAAGGAACTGCTTCCCTCTGCTCTCCTTGGATAACCACACGACCTGCAGCAGCCAATCAGATCCCTGCTCAGTGTGTTGACATGGTGACAGAGGTCAGAGGGTTCACTGACCCCCAGAAGGAGGAATACTTCAGGAAGAGATTCAGAGATGATGAAGAGAAGGCCAGCAGGATCATCTCCCACATCCAGAAATCCAAAAGTCTCCACATCATGTGTCACATCCCCGTCTTCTGCTGGATCACTGCTAAAGTTCTGGAGGATGTGATGAAGACCAGAGAGAGAGAGAAACTACCCAAGACTCTGACTGAGATGTACATAGAGTTCCTGAAGGTTCAACTCAAAATCAAGGAGGAAAAATATGATGGAGGAAAAAAGACCAAATCTATCTGGAGTCCAGAGAACAGGAAGCTGATTGAGTCTCTAGGAAAACTGGCTTTTGATCAGCTGCTGAGGGAAACCTGATCTTCTATGACAAAGATCTCACACAGTGCGGCATCAACATCCAAGATGCTGCGTTGTTCTCAGGAGTTTTCACTGAGATGTTTAAAAGAGAGAGAGGGACACGCGACGTCTCCATCTACTCCTTTGTTCATCTGAGCATCCAGGAGTTTCTGGCTGCAGTCTACATGCTCCACTGCTTCACCAGCAGGAAGTCAGAGGAGATCAAGACGTTCCTGGGAGACGAATGCAGAGAATCATCTCTAGATGAGTTCATGAAGAAAGTCATGGAGAAATCCCTCAGCAGTGAAAATGGCCACCTGGACCTGTTGTCCGCTTCCTTCATGGTCTCACTGTGGAGTCCAACCAGAGAGACTTAGAAGATCTGCTGGGTCAGACAGAGACCAGTCCAGAAACCATCCAGAGAATCATCACCAACCTGAAGGAGATGAACGCTGATAGAATCTCTCCTGACAGAAGCATCAACATCTTCTACTGTCTGGTGGAGATGAACGACGTCTCATTTTATCAGGAGATCCAACGGCTGATGGATTCAGGAAGAAGCTCTCAGAGTCTGACTGTTCAGCTCTGGCCTTCATGCTGCAGATGTCAGAGAAGGTTCTGGATGAGTTGGACCTGAAGAAGTACAACACATCAGAATCAGGACGACAGAGACTGGTTCCAGCTGTGGAACTGCAGAAAGGCTCGGTGAGTCCAGATGTTTTCATTGTGTGATGCTGATTCAGCTCTATTGTCCTCCTGTTTCTTCTTCTGTCTTCAAGTTGATTCTGGATGTTTTTGCTCTTTATCTACTTCCTTCATCCTCTGGATTATTTTTCATAAACTTTATATTTTGTTGTTTTTACAGTTTCAGAAATTAAATACTTTGAACATTCAAACCTCCACTAACAAAAGCTGCAAAGTATCTTGTTGAACAAAGACAATTAAATAATAAAACAATAAAAGCCAAAGTGAGAACTTTCACAATAAAACTAGATGATTACATTGATCCTCCAGTTGGTTCCAGGTTCAGGTTTCTTCTCTTCCAATATTTTTATTGATCAGCAGAAAAGTCTTCATGACAGTCAGTCTCTCCACTGGATGAATTTCCTTAATTATTTCCTTCCAGTCTAATGTGAATGTTCTGATCATCATCATCATCATCATCAGTGTTGCATGTTATTCGCCCAGGAAAACATTAAAACATTCTGGGGAGGAAATTTCACATGTTCTCTGATGAGATTAAAATAAGTTTGTGTCAAACTGACTGTCTGTTCGTGTCTGCTGCTCCTTTGTGGTGTTAATTTAAAAAACTCAGCATGCAGCTGCTGGTTGCTTATCTTGACTCTGAGAGCATTCTGCTAAAGAAACCAGGTTCTGCAGAGCAAGAGAGACGTTTTTGTAACAAGCAGAAATATTAAGTAGGGAACTGGTTACAGGTCTGAGAACAAACACAAAGCGTTCGGTTCCCCATGTACACTCAATCAATCAATCAATCAATCAATCAATCAATCAATCAATCAATCAATCAATCAATCAATCAATCAGTCAATGATTGATTGATGTACACTCACTGCTAAGTTAATGATGAATATTCATGAATATTTATCTAATGCTAGTCGACACATACAGTTACATTTAGCTATCAAGCTGCAGCATTTATGATGCTGCAGCATAGTGCAGCATCATAAATGCTGCACTATGCTGCAGCACTTATGATGCTGCAGCTCGTGGTAAAAATGAGTCAATTTTTTAAAATAAAGTGTTTATCAGAAAACCTAAAGATCAAATCAGGATTGATTTAACACCAGAGACAGAAAAATAGAGCAAAAGGTGATTTGAACTGCAGTTGGAACAATTATTGACAATATATACAGGGGTTAAAGTTCATCAATAACTGGTTCAATCCTCCATTAATCACAAACTGAAAAATAAGTTGATTAAATTCATTAAAAATGTCCAAATGCTGATAAAGATCCAGTTCAGTTTCACCAAACCAAGAACCAAAGTACTGAAGAGGGAGTTGGGAAAGCATTATTGATTTAATATAGATCAGATATTGACTCGATCAATATCTGCCGATAACAGATATTGATCAGTTATCGGCGTTTGATTCATTAATTTCAACCTCAAATGATTCGTTGACACATTTTCAACTTTGGTTCTGACTAGAATTGGATGATTGTTTGCTGATTGATCATTGATTATGGACCAGAAATCAACCATTCTGACTATAATCCATCGTTGACGTAGCATCCTGTGCTATCAGGTCGGCTAACTCCGGGTCAGTTAGCGTTAGCAGTTAGCGTTAGCAGTTAGCGTTAGCAGCTCATCGTCTGGTCTTGTTCCTTAATAGTTCCTCCCATAATGTTGTTGTTCTCTGATGGATCAATAAAAGCAGCAACGTGGCGATGAGGGTTCAGCCTCGGCCACAGACCCTTTCCTGAATCTGATAATCCACATTAATCTTAATCCTGGCAGAATGTGATTCATACAGACTGAAACAACCTATAATCTGATTATTAAAGCCAAATCTGTCCAGAGCTCAATAAAGATATTCCAACACATTGAATCAAAAGCCTTTTCAGCATCTAAATGACTTTATTGATTCTGTTTAACCTTTGACCTGTGAGGTCAGGAGCCCACGTTGTCATGGGTTTGAATGTTGATGATAAAACCAGATTAAATCTGATCTGTGTCTGTAATTCCTGGGATTATAATATTTATCCAGTGTTGCTGCAGTGATCCTGTAATCAATGTTTCAAACTGATGTTGGTTTATGAACCACATCCAGTTTCATCTTTACCAGGTTTAGGAATCACTGACATCTCTGCTCTGATCCAAGATGGCGGCGTTTCCCCTCCACAAAGTTCTGATCAAATCAATCCTTCAGCAGCCGCTCTGCCGGGTCGCCTCCTCACCTGCCGTCTGATTCCTTTCTCTTTAATGACTTTATTGATCAGTGATTAGTTGTTAGTGGATGATTTTGATCTGTTCCTATCGATGGTGAATCCAGAGCAGCAGCAAAAACTGCATGAGGCTGAGAGCAGAACTGAGTGGAGGATCATTCAACAGATTCTCATGTGTTTTAGAGATCGGGTGTTTATCTGTTGGATTTTAATTTATTGATAAATCTATTAGTTTGCTATCAGTTTCTTTGCTTTGATCTATTTCCATAATAGTTGAGTTGAATAAATTTATCCTTTTCCTCCATCTGGTTTCATAGAAACAGTTTCTCCTTGTTTCTCTGATTTGTTATTATTATTATTTTCCATACGTTGTATTTGTAGAGATTTTAGTTTTCTAATCTTTTAAACATTTCTCTCTTTCTCGTTAGAGAACCAGATAATTAAAGTTTTTGCTTCGTCCCATAAAATCCAGGGAGAAAAATCCTCTGTGTTGTTCTGGTTCAAATCATCTTTGAGTCGTTTTTCCTGAAATCTGTTAAATTTAGTGTCATTAATAAACTATAATTATTGTTGATTCTCCACAGGGTTTCTTTGGTTCATGACAAAGGGTCCGGCCCTTTCCAGGCCCTGGTCTATCCCTGGTCTTGCGCTGGTCCGACCCGGATCTGGCCCTGGGCTGGCCCTGGTCCGGCCCTGGTCTGGCCGGGTCCGGTCCTGGTCTGGCGCTGGTCCGGCGCTGGTCCGGCCCGGGTCCGGCCCTGGTCCGGCCCAGATCCGGCCCTTTCCAGGCCCTGGTCTGGCCCGGATCCGGCCCTTTCCTGGCCGGTTCTGTCCCTGGTCTTGCGCTGGTCTGGCCCGGATCCGGCCCTTTCCTGGCCCGGGTCTGTCCCTGGTCTTGCGCTGGTCCGGCCCGGATCGGCCCTTTCCTGGCCCTGGTTTGCCGTGGCCGGCCCTGGTCCGGCCCGGATCCCGCCCAGGTTCGGCCCGATCCGGCCCTTTCCTGGCCCGGGTCTATCCCTGGTCCTGCGCTGGTCCGGCCCGGATCTGGCCCTGGTCCGGCCCTGGTCTGGCCGGGTCCGGTCCTGATCTGGCCGTGGCCTGGCCCTGGTCCGGCCCTGATCCGGCCCGGGTCCGGCCCTGGTCTGGCCCTGGTCTTGCGCTGGTCTGGCCCGGGTCCGGCCCGGATCCGGCCCTTTCCTGGCCCTGGTTTTGCCGTGGTCCGGCCCTGGTCCGGCCCGGATCCGGCCCAGGTTCGGCCCGAGTCCGCCCTTTCCTGGCCCGGGTCTATCCCTGGTCTTGCGCTGGTCCGGCCCGGATCTGGCCCTGGGCTGGCCCTGGTCCGGCCCTGGTGGGCTGGTCCGGCGCTGGTCCGGCGCTGGTCCGGCCTGGATCCGGCCCTTTCCAGGCCCGGGTCTGACCCTGGTCTTGCGCTGGTCTGTCTCGGGTCTGGCCCGGGTCCGGTGGTCTGGCCCGGGTCCGGTCCTGGTCTGGCGCTGGTCCGTCCCGGGTCCGGCCCGGGTCTGACCCTGGTGCTGGTCGGGTCTGGCCCGGTCCGGTCCTGGTCTGGCCCGGGTCCGGTCCTGGTCTGGCGCTGGTCCGTCCCGGGTCCGGCCCGGGTCTTTGCCAATCTCATAAGTATATTTTAAAATGACCATTTCCAGTGGGGTGACAGTAGGGGTGGCAAGGCCTCTGTTGGGGGTGGCAAATGCAATCCCTGCCACCCCTCTGTCTCCGCCTCTGCTGTCTGAGACGTTTTAATTTTGCTGGAGACCAGAAAATGATTTTAGTGAAAGTTCCAGTTTCATATCAATATCTGATACTTTGAGTCCAAAATGTTCCTAATAATCATTACTTACTGTCAACACATTGAATCAGGGATTCTCTATGATCCATGCAGCAGAAAATGGATCCCAACATCTTTCTAGTTACTGGAGAAATTTCACTGCTTCATCATGAAAAATGGACCCAAACACTCTGGTTCTGGTTCTGTCCACCATGATCCATATCATCACTATAGTAGATCAGACTGATGGACTGAGAGTTTATCAGTCTGTCTCATCTCAATGTGTGCAGACATATTAATGAGGATCATCTGCAGATCCTGGGTCACCTGGACCCGGTTCTGACCCAGTCCAGACGGTTCAGACCGGAAGGAGCAGCAGGACCGGTTCTGCTGCTGCTCTGCAGGACGACCAGAACAACATGAAGCTTTTAGCTGCAGCAGGTTGACGACTGTCCACTTTCTACTTTGTTAAAGCATCAATCCAGCAGATGAACGGAGACAGAACTGGAGCATCATGTGTTTGTTCTGCTCCCAGTTTCCTCTGTGGCAGCATTTAATAACCTGCTGCTGGGAAACATGTTTCTATACATATATTATATTATTCATGATGATGCAGCAGATAGTGGCTCAACAAACCCAGAGATGCCAGAGGTCCACAGCAGCTGGACTTCCTGTTCTGCTCACTTCATTTAGAACTCACTTCCTGCTTGATCTAAACGGTCTAGTCCAAGTCAGAGCTGTGAGCAGTTCCTCCTCCTCTCCATCATCTCCAGTCGTTTCCTTCATTCAGCTCAGTCAGCCTCTTCATCAGCTGCTGCAGAGAAACTGAACTTTCCTTCACTGATGATAGAAGATCTTCAACATCTGACTGCAGCTGAAGGTCTGAGGACATGAAGCCTGGACCAGAACCAGAACCTGGACCAGAACCACCAGAACCTGGACCAGAACTAGAACCTGGACCAGAACCAGATCCTGAACCTGACCTGGACCAGAACCTGGACCAGAACCAGAACCTAAACCTAAACCTGAACCTGGACCAGAACCAGAACCTGGACCAGAACCTGGACCAGAACCAGAACCAGACCTGGACCAGAACCAGAACCAGACCTGGACCAGAACCAGAACCTGGACCAGAACCAGAACCAGAACCAGAACCTGGACCAGAACCAGAACCTGGACTTTAACCAGGAACTGCACAGATTCTCTGTGGGGTCAAACTCAGTAGATATTGATCAGATGATGATCAGATGATGACATCACTGTTATCATATTTTAGTCTGTTTATGATCCAGATTGATTTCATTAGAACTGAATTTATTTCTTCTCTAATCACAGACTTGGTGACTGTTCGCTCCAAAAGGCTGAATGTGAAGTTTTGGCCTCGGCTCTGAAGTCCAACCCAGATCTGACTGAACTGGAAAAATCAGATCTACATGATAAAGGTGGAGAATCTGATATGAAGCATCTGGTTGAGATCCTGGAGAATTCAGTCAGTAAAGTGAAGCATATGGGGTTTGTTTTCTCTATTTATTCAATAAAATCATTTATTGATTCTTTAATCAATAGTTTAATCAATTTAATGTTAATATATATTATTTTAAAACAACTGTTTAATCATGAGAATAAAATCTCTAAAACTTTTGACCTTATTAATTATTTTCTTATTTCAGACTTTGAGATTATTGAACTTTGTTTTTCATTTTTTCTCTTTAAAATGTTTTTGATGAACAAAATGAGTAAAATAATTGAAATGCTGTGAATGAATGATGGAGATGTTTCAGTTTGGTAAAGATTCAGATGCTTTTATTTCTGATTCTTTACATCAGAATGAAATGTTGATCCTCCAGAGCCACAAACACTGATGAGTTCAAATCCTCATTAATGAACGTCTAAGAAACCACTGATTGTAGAAAAGCAAATCTAGATGCAATGAATGAAAGTGAGGTTTGCAGCAGCAGCAGGTTCCTCAGCTTTGTCCTGAGGCTGTGGTTCTGTTGGGCCGGGTCAGAGAGGAACCGTCTCCTGAGGAAATAATGGCCTCCATTGGCTTTCAGCAGCTTTAATAGGAACCCAAAGGCCATTAATGAAGAACCTGACTGGTTCTGATCCAGTTACCAAGTCGGGTCTGATGATCAGGAACCAGCAGAAATAGCTCAACTCATCCAGACTGATAGAAAACTTTGAGTTTCTTTGTTGATCAAATGTTCTGGTTCTGCTGGTTTGGACTCTTTAAACCAGTTTGACTGGATCAGATGTTAGAATCACTTCATCATGTTTCTTTTACATTCAGGGAAATTAATTTATACATTTTATTATTGATTTGTTCATATTTCAGTTTTAACTGCATCCTGTTGGTTCACATCTTTTATTCTTTATTCAGATTGATGGCTGCAGTTTCTCAGAGACCAGCTGGACGTCTCTGTTCTCAGCTCTGAAGTCCAACCCGACCCATCTGACAGTACTGGGCCTGATTCAGAACCAACCTGGAAGATTCTGGACTGAAGGATCTCTGTGGTTTTCTACAGACTGAAGGCTGCAGACTGGAGATATTGGTGTATTAATGATATAATTATTGATATTTCTGTGAATAATTCTATATAATTGATCATCAATCAAAGTTCATTTCTTCTGATCTAATCAATATTTTCTGAGTTTGTTCCTGGATCCAGAGTTTAATTTAGTTTCTCTGTGTAACTGAGTTGGACCTGCTGATCTGAGGTCAGAACAGGACAGCATTCGGACCCCAGTGTGTAGAAATCCCCCTCAGGTCAAGCAGGTCAAAGGTCATCCAGTCTAGAAAAGTGAATTCCTGGAATCTGACAGGAACAAATCAATAATCAATGATTGATGCTTCAACACTTTGATCAGAACCTGGAATGATTTTACTGACTAAAATCCTCCAACACATCATGACCCAGTACCAGGTTCTGGTTCTGGTTCTGAAGTCAGCAGGTCTTTATTGGAGCAGCAGCTTGTTGGCATTAATTTCATGAGAATCTTTAACTGGTTCTGTTGGACTGGTTAACCTGCATCCTGTTGTTCACATCTTTTATTCTTTATTCAGGTTGAATGACTGCAGTTTGTCAAAGATCAGCTGTGATTATTGGCCTCAGCTCTGAAGTCCAACCCGACCCGTCTGACAGAACTGGACCTGAGATTGAACAACCTGAGGAATCAGATGTTCAGCAGCTGAAGGATCTTGTAAAAACTTTAGAGTAAGTAAATGTTTGCAGTGAGTCCAGCTGCTGTCAGCATATTGAACTAAACCCAGTCAGCATCAAAGCAAAGATCCAGTTTCCCAGTAAAGCTGCAGCTTCTCAGTGGGAGGAGAATGGTTCAGGCTTCCTGATTGGACACAGCAATCAGCCAATCAGAGGAGCAGCGGCTTGCTGTGTTGTTGCTGTGTCCATGTCTCCAGGACGTCCAGCTGGACTCCAGCGTCCAACATGTCTAGAGACAGTGGTCCTCATTCATCAAACAGCAGCAGATCTGATCTCAGACCTGCTTGTTCTCTCAGTTCAACAGGAAACAACTGATCAGGTTCATCTTGGTCACAGCTCTGAGATCAGTCTGACTGGAAACCATCTACTGGATGTGCTGCGTCACTGACTGCTACTGGAAACACTCACTGATCTGCTCTCCTTCCTTCTTCTCTCTGCAGGTTCTGATCTCTGTAAAGTAGAGAACGTCTCTGTGTCCTGCTGATCCTCACAGGTTGAAGCTGCAGCAGTTTGAGTCTAAGAGACTCTGGATCAAGATGATGACCTTTGACCTCAGAACATTTTCTATTTCAAATATTTTCCAGACGTCGATTGTTGAAGATTTTCAGTTTTATTTTTCATCTGATCTGTTGATGATCTGCAGGAACAAAAGAGAGAAAAATACTCTGAGTTTGTTAGAAAAGTTGAATTGAGCAAAAACATGAAGCATAAATTTCATTAAAAAGCTTTAAAGAGTTTGTTAATGGGACAAAATGTCATTTTATTCTGTTGAGGTGAAAAAAGTTGATCTAAAATCAGACATGATAGCAGCTCTATAGATTCAGAGCCAAACAGTAAAACTTCCTCTGGATGTGGCATTAAATCCACTTGAGATCCAGACGTCCTGACCAGATCCTGCAGAGAAAAGATATTTGAACGTGGATCATTTGGACTCGGCTGCTTGGATGTGTGTTTGGATTTGAAAGGTTTTGTTGTGAAGCAGAAAGTTGATGAAGTTCACAGTGAAGACGACTTCAGTCCACCTGAAACCTGGTTTCACTCAAACGTCTTTATTCACTTTAAGTTTCTGATGCAAAAAAGGAAGAAAAGGTCAAAGGTGAACCAGAGATCGATTGTTGCTCACAGATGTGATGGGATCAGTTTGCACAGCTGTTGTTCAAGGAGAACAGTTTTATTTTCCTGCTTTTGTTGATGGATGCAAATTTGCATCAGAAGATGAGAAAATAACTTTCTGTGGTTTATTTGTGTGGATTTAAAGTGGAACAAGTTTAAAGAAAAACTAGAGGAGAAACCTGAGCCAGCGTTCTGACAGACCAAACACTGAGGAAGCAGAGTTTGCATCGTCAAAGTGACGAAATCATCTGAATGTTGTGACTCGTTTCCCATCAAATCCCTGACAGGAGAAGCAAAACCTCACGTCTCCAACATGAAGCTGCAACAGGATGCAGAACTTCCACCGAGCGTCACGTCACTCACAGCAGATCAGGAGCCTCGCTCTTCACCTCAACACCGCCTAAAACCTGGGACCAGGGGTTAAAGGTCATCTCCTGCACCTAGTGCAACATTTCACTCCTTATGAGAGCGCGTCTCAGTTTAGAGGCCAAAACCAGCAAGAAGCTTCAGAGTTTTCCTGCAACGTAGCTCTGGTCTGTTGGCTTCAGTGAGGCTGGTTTTACTGAAGATGTGTTCAGGTACGCAGGAAAATTCAGCGCTGATACAGACGGGACGAGCGACTCCACCTCTGATGATGCTTGGACAAAAGTTTATATGTTCATGAGATGAAACAGTTAATTTTCCTCACATATCAGGACATTCTCCATCGGTCATCCTGCCGTCGTTCTGGATTTATTCATTATTTACATCATCAATAGAAATTGTTCAACCAGATGTTTCTCTTTGTTTTAATTTTCACTGTTATAAAGATCAAGTCAGCTTACATTACTGTTGTTAAATAAGAGTCACTGCAGGATTTTATTCAGTTTGATTAGAAATAAAACGTCTTGTAAAGTTTATTACAGCAGCTTTTTTTTATAATTTTAAACAGTTTTTAAAATAATAAAGAACAGTTGTTCTTATGTCAGCTGGTTGTTTTTCTTGATATTTGAAGCTTTTTCACACTTTCATTCTCAAAATTAACAACAGTTAATATTTCTGGGATTGTTACACAATAAAATGTAGGATTTTTTTCAAACTAAATTTCCATCTATTGTAAAATAAATATTACTTTATAAGTAGTTGTTCACTTTGTATCTAAATTATTCTAATAATTAATCTCTATCTCTAATAACATACATGTATGAAATATAAATTATTATTCACAGGATTAAGTTAATATCTTGTCATTAGAAACTAGTGAAAAGTTTGTAGTTTATTAGTTTTATGATGGTTGATTGAGTTCTTACTGCCCTCTGGTGGTGAACTATCATGACTACAGACATTCTTCATATAAATTGTTAAACCGGATGTTTTAATGTAAAATTTTATAACGTCAGATCAAAGTTAACTCCAAACAGTGAATCAAAATATGTCTGAATAACAAACTAGACAGAAATCTGTGATAATGACTCGGGATGTCTTTTAGTTTTTTCTCTAAACTCCACATTAATGGATATTAAACATAAATAATGCGCATTATCAGGGCTGTAGTTCCCACTAAGGCCACCAGAGGGCGTAAATACCCCGCTCTGAATATAGAGGTGAGTTTGAAGAGCTGCAGCTGGTTTCTGGAAATCAGTGTTTTATCTGTCAGTGTGAACTAGAAGCATCTCCACAGAGACGAAAACATCCCGCAGAGACTCTGAGCGGAGCTAACGATGCTAACTGACTAGCAGCGGCTTTGGAGCTGTGGTTCTTAAAACTGGAGCTTCAGCTCAACAGAGCTGAAACAAACTCTGGTTTAGGCGATAAGCTGAGCTTCCGGTCTGAAGGTAGGAAAATATTTATGAAAAGTTAAATTATCCTGCAAACAGTCAGAATAATGTTGATATTTTAGCTGCGAGCCGCGAACTGAACTATTAATATCAGAGCAGGGCGGTTTCTGCCCTCTAGGGACACAGATGATAATTACACCTACTTGATAAAGTTAGAGCGTTTACAAACTACATTCACTTCCGGTGAGTACTTTCACATTAAGAGCCATAGAAACGAGTTCCTCTGTTAGCTTTCATTTGAAATAAGACATTTTACTTCTGTTGTTTTTCTCTTTGAAACTAAACTGTTATTCAAAAGCAGCAAATTAAATTTTACTCATCTCAAACTGAAATGATTATCAATTCATAAAAGTATTTTAATAACATTAAGAGCAGCCCCATCTCTGACCCGGTTCCCTCTCTGACCCGGTTCCATCTCTGACCCGTTCTCTCTGACCCGGTTCCTCTCTGACCCGGTTCTCTCTCTGACCCGGTTCCCTCTGACCCGGTTTCCTCTGACTCTCTTGCGTTCATGAAATCAGTTTCCTTCATTCAGAGACTCAAACTGAAATGTTCTTTAGTGAAGAAGAAACTTCATCTGGTTCTGATGTTGAAGCTGCAGCTTGAATCCGTCTCAGGATTCGGATCAGAATCCAGTTCGTATCACCGATCAGCATCACTGTGGCTCCAGAACCTGGCCTATCTCTATCTGTGCAGGCCGGTTGAGGCCAAGAGGTCAGAGGGCAGAACCAGAACTGGACCTGGTGCCGTCATGTGCGATGTTTTTTAGATTTAATCTAAAAATTAAAAGATTAAATCTCTCTAATATAAATTAGAGAGATTTTAGATTCTCTCTAAAGTCTCAATTTTTAGAGATTCTCTGGAGATAAAACAGAAAATTACAGTTGGATAACAAAGGTCAACAGTTTTGAATTATGAGACAAGAGTTTGTGATAATTTATTAAAGAATGTGACTTTTATACTACAAGTTGTGGAAAGAAGAATCCAGTCAAACTTTTGCTGTTCTGCCAACAAAGTTTATTTATTGAGTCATTTGCACCAAAGCAGCTTTCAAAATGGCCGCCTTACATCCAGCAGTCCATCAATTAACCAGTGAAGCCCCGCCTCTCATTTGCCCGGCCAATCAAAGTGCAGCGGTTCTATAAAAGAGCTGTGTTTGAGGCGGGCCTCTTCTTTAGCAGAATCCCAAGATGGCTGCCGCAAAGGACTCACCCTGAAGGTAGCAAACATTTCACAGACAAGACTCATTTACACGCTGGAATTCAACAAGTTTTAGAAAAACTGAGTCCTTCCTAACAGAGACATGAAGTAACACGACAATGACCTGATTTCTGGAGCCTCGGCTCAAAACTCTGAGCTAAATAGAGGCTAAAAGCAGCTCAAGGTTTCTGAAGCTACGATTCATAAGATGCAGGAGGAGAAACTCTGGAGAGTTTTTTAGTTATTTAGTAATAAACTTTTCACAGTATTGCTGCATTTCATCTGCCATATATATCATAATGACTTGTTCATCTCTTTCCAGGTGAGCTGTGGTCTCCACTGGATGCAACAGCCAGAAGAGAAGCAGCACCAGTGCAGCAGAGGCGCTGTTCAGGTGAGCGGTACCTCACCTGAAACCCACACGGAGGAGACAGGAAGTGATTTCATGTGTCCTCAACTCCTCTCAGGATGTCGATTGACTTCATACTTGCTGCAGCCCAGTAAAAACAGAATCGGTTCAAACTTTGGCACTTTGCTGTTCAGGCCAACAGCTTTAGGTCTGTTGGACTTAAAGCTCAGAGTTTCTCTTTGAATAACTATATTTAAATAATTTTTCAGTTTCCAGTCTGCTATTTTCACCGTCTCTCCCAAAGGAGCGTCTTCATTCCCGCCTCCCAGATGGTAGCTCTGTAAGGTGATGGAGTTCAGGGCTGAGAGCTTCCAGCCTCAAATACTCACATGTTCAAGTTTAAAGAACGACTTCAAAACTAAAGTATAAAGAATCTAAGAACTGAAATCGCCCAAAAACAAATGATTGAACAAATAAAGCAAGCTGAGCCTGATGAACCAGATGTATCTGGCTCTGTTTGTACTTGTATGACTTTGTTAGCAGCTTTGACCTCTCAGTCTGAGAAGAGTCTCCTCTGAAGGAGAATCCTTTTCCAGATCAAACTCATCCAGATCTTTTTCTGATGACGGTAAGATGAAGACCAGAGCCGACCACCGAGCAGGAGACAGTTTACCAGAGGACAGACGTCCTGAACTCAGAGACTGTTGGATCTCCTCCACTAGAGAACGATGGTTCAGTTCATTCAGACAGTGGAAAAGGTTGATGATCTTCTCTACAGGCAGATTGTCGCTGATGTTCTTCTTTATGTACTGAACTGTCTCCTCATTGGTCTGAGCTGCTTCCTGTCTGTGTGTACGAGTCTCTGATTGGTCTGCAGCGAAGCCCAGCAGGAAGCGGACGACCAGGTCCAGGTTTCCATTTGGACTTCTTGAACAGCCATCTACTGCTCTGATGAATCATTTGTTTCTGTTCTTCACTGCAGTTCTGTTTCCAGGATGTTGAAGAAAAGTCCCAAATCAGTAACTGGCAGAGTGAGAGAAACGAAAACCTGCTGCTGGTGTTGATGTGTCAGTTTCACTGGAAAAGGTTTTCACTGGAAAAGGTTTTCACTGGAAAGGTTTTCACTGGGTGTAATTGTGACGTGCAGAAGAGAAATCCTGAACCAGGAAATATTTCAGTTTAGTTAAGATTCCTCAGATATTCCTGAGCTGAAAGCTGCGACACTTTGTGTGAACATTTGTGGAAAGTAGTTTTCAGTTCATGAGGTTTGAATGTGAATCTGAGTCGCCTTTTCTTGTTTTTCTCCGGGCAGAGGAGACGTGGAGATCAGCCTGGCTCCTGACGGTTCCACTCCGACCCAGATCTACAGAAACAGGTCGGTTCTAAGGTCCGGTCCAAACGACTCTCTGGACCCGAAACGCAGCAGAACATTCCTGCATCCAATCAAATGCGATGCAGACGTGCAAACATGCAGGAGAAATGTTGCAACCATTCAGCTCAAAAGGAGAAATTCGTAACAGACACAGAGTCTCTTTACAGACAGGAATATAATATTTATATATGTAACGTAGAAGCGACGGCCATTTTAGACAGTTTAACGTCTGGATGCAGCGATCCGATGTTTCGTATTGACCATCTGAATTCATTTAAAACGGTTTTATGATTTGAAAACTGGTGTAAAAGTTGTGGATTATAAATGTAGCTGATAAGCAGCATCAGTGCAGCTGAATCCACCAGAAGCTCCAGTAGTTTAATAAATAATAAAGAAACAGATGAAAGCAACAAGTTGACCAACTCAGTTCAACATGTCGATAAACGGCGACAAACATTTGAAACGGTTCAGAAAGTCCGATTAGTAATTCTAAGTAAAACGTAAATTAAATAACGAAGCATTTTAAACATAACTGGCCTCTGGTCTAGTTAAAGCTCACAGATGAGCTACTTTCTGTTTTGCTTTTATTTTTAGTGCATCATGGAGCTGGCAGATGCGCTCCACTACAGAGACATCAAACCAGAGAACCTGTTGCTGGGAGGAAACGGGGAGCTGAAGATCGCTGACTTTGGTTCTTCTGTTCACATTCCATCTTTAAGGTATGTGCATGCTGACATGTTAGCATGCTCTGTAGTCATTTCAGCTCTGACATTGTGTTGTTCTGTCCATGCAGGAGGTCCACCCTGTGTGGATCGCTGGACGACCAAACTCAGGATGAGAAGGACCTGTGGAGTCTGGGGGTCCTTTGCTATGAGTGTCTTGTTGGAAAACGTCCATTTGAAACAAAAAGTCACGATGAACCTACCGTAGGATTTCTAAGGTAAGAATGCTGATGAATGCAATAATTCAATTCCTAATTTTCACAGGAGTTTTATCCAAATATTTGAGCTTTTTGGAGCACAGAGATCCAAAATAAAAATCTTTAGGCAGACGGACCAGCTAACATGTTGTTAATATTTATTATTGGTGTAGGTGGAGTACAGTTCCCCTCCACATGCTTCCATTAGTGCCGGAGCTAAAGACTTGCTGGCCAAGCTGCTGCAGCCCAACCCCATGCACAGGTTGCCCATTGAAGGCGTCGTCTCCCATCCCTGGGTCCTCAAACGCTCCACCAAGGCCCACGACTTGTGAGTCATTTCTGAGTACGTCTTTCCAGCACCGGCTCCATCTTCCGTGTCCAGGATCCACTGATTTGGAAGGACAGTTATCAATATTTTAAAAGTACATGACAGCCAAGAGGAATCATGTTAATAAAAGTCATCCTTTCATGTTTTGAATTTTTTTGGGGGGTTTGAATTCTGTTTCTGTAAACATATTTACACACGAGAGGAAAGAGAGACAAATTAGCTGTAGATTTTTTGGTGGAGATGTTTTTAATCCAGGAGAAATTGAAGGGAGATTATCCCCATTTCTGAACTGAAACATGTGTTCTGAACTTTTAGATTTATTTTTCAAAAGAGTATTAAAATGGTAAAGCAGCAGTCACATTGAAACATTGAAGTATTATGGATATATGATTTTATGTTGTTCCTTTTAGTCTGCTTCCAGGAAGACGTCCTGCTCCATTTTTATGTCACTCTGCATGACTTGTAAGATTTGATCCTTTTCTTATGCTGAACAAAATGTGTTTATTTGTCAAGCTGAAACGTCCGAGGGGTTTTGTTTGAGTCCAGTGGCCAAAATGGAGCCGATAAGAACAGGAAGGCCCAACATTTTTGCAGGGAAAGTCAATTATCTCTGCAGGTTTTCCATGAAAACTAACTGGTAAGTCGTTGTCAGTTTGAGATTTTCTTCCCTCTGTGTCCTTCTAGGTGAGACGCAGCCGCGGGAAAACAAAAAGACCAATGTTTCACGTCCTCTACGGAACCAGAGAGACGGACTTTCAGACGGGGAAACAGCCGGAGACCATAACAGAACAGCCTTACCTCTGGTCATGTGCTCGGCCTCGCACATTCTGGGCGAGCCGTTGGACGCATTCAGAGCTGAAGCTCAAATAAACATGCTTCTTAATGAAGCAAGAGCCACAACTGGCTAATGAAGTGGAGGAGGTGGCAATAGGTCAAATGAGCAACTTGAGGAAGCTGCTGCAATGGTATGTCGTTTTTTTCTTCATTTTTTCGACAACATACTATATAGTATTTTTTTTTTTTTCAATATTTCGACAACATAATATAGTATGTCGGGTTTTTTTTATTTTTGACAATATAGTATGTCACTTTTTTCAATATTTCGGACGACATACTATATAGTATGTAGAAATGATAATATTGAAATGATACTTTATATTTAATAGGGAAGAAAAACAATGATATGTGTGAAGAATGTGGAGAAACATAGAACATGTATTAATGAACTGTAAAACATAAATGTGAAAGGGAGAAATTGAGAAGAATAGTTGGAAGGACAGATCAAGAATGGAGTTTGAAAGGAATACTGGAATGATGGAAATATAATGGATATTTGCATATTAAGGAAAGCACTATTTATTTATCTTCAAAATAAACAATAGAATCTGACTGATGTAAAATACTGTTGCTTCACACTCGTGTACAGTAGGTGGCGGTATGCACCTTAAAGTTGCTTGCGATCCGCCATAATAGAAAAGAAGAAGAAGAAGGCCAGGGTTCTTGAGTTATTCTGAAATGTTTGTTTTTTTATTTAGAAAAGTAAACAAAAACTATTTTAAACAGGATCAGGAACTGAAGTCGGTCATGTAGTGAAAGACGACTGAATGGATCCGACTGACTGAAACTTTAACAACAAACATCCACAAGTTACTGGATGATAAAAACTATTTCCTCCTTTCTGGGTCTTTTTCTTCTGCCCAGATCATTGATTAATATCTGGATCAATACAGTGGAGATGCAGAGGAGATAATAATGTTCCTGTAAAGCTGATCACAGTCAAAAGACGTTTTTACACCAAGATTGAATCAACTGACGGCTTTAAAACTTTTACACAGTAATGTTTCATTTTTAGATGTTGTTCATTATTATTTTACCTTTAATCTTCTACTAATCTGCACTAATGAAACTGTTTCCTCTGTTTATTTCTCAGGTTATAAATAAATGTTTCAAACTGGTTGACAGGCTGGAAACCATCAATCTGTCCTGATCAGAACCAGAACCAGAACCAGAACCAGGCACCAACAGAGAGCAAATCAATCTCTAAAATGTCACATTTTAAGCTTTATCAGAAGCAGTTTGTTAGAAAATGCAGCAAAGACATTAAATTAAAATATTGTAGAGTTAAAAGTGAGGCTGTCTGTGTGACAGATGAACCTCGACCCAAACTGAGGAAGGAGGAAACATTCCTGCACAGCAGAGACAGAAACTCATAAACATCTTCCAGTGAACGGCTGCAGCAAGTTAAAACCTGTTTGTAACTCTGCAGGTTTTTAACTGTCGTTGGAAACGTTTGAGACAAACTAGTTGAACATCTTAAAGCCTCCAGGCTAAAAGAGACAAAGATTAAAGAAGTTTATGTTCAGCAGTGAAGGAGGATCAGGTGAGTTAGTAACACGACTGGGATAAAGTTAGTTTTGTTCTGTGGCCTGTAAAGAACCGAGACGTAAACGCCTCACTACGTCTGACCCAGTGATGTTGGTTCTGAAGCTTTATTGGCCAATAGAGGAGCTGAAGGCAGATGGACTCGGTTTCATCCATCAGGTTTGCTAAATGTTTCCCAGGCTGAATGTAACTCTGGTTCTGATCCGTTTGGATCACATTATGGCTTGTAACACCTGATCATTTTCAGCATTAAAATCTGTTTTTATAAAACCAAATCTCATTATTTCTCAGGGTTCTGGTCGGTCCTGAACCGGTAAACGGACCTGGAGGATCACAGAGACAGAAATGATGAAACTCCAACAAAACTATGAGGAAACTGAAGGTCCTGACCTTTAACCTCCTCACAGCTCCATGGCTGAATGAGGAAACTGAAGGTCCCGCCTTTCCTCAGAACTGGATCAGAACCGGTTCAGTAGCATCTGAATCAGCCAATCAGCAGAGGAGTTTCTTCCTCTCTGTGTGTCTCTGCTGGTTCCAGTAGAAACGGTGATCTGGTGTCAGAGGTGATCCGCTGCTGGGATCTGATGAAAGCCTCTCTGTTTGTTCTGAGAGGAAGATGATGATGATGATGATGATCCTCCTGCTCGGTAAGATCACCTTCCTCTCTGCTCCTCATCCTCTCCAGTCTCTGTAAGCTGCTGATCAGACTCAGAGCTTCTGGGTTCTGGTCCGTTCTTCTCTCTAATGACCCCTGGTGACCTCAGCTGGTTGATGGTTCTGGATCAGAACCTCAGGTTCTGGTTCCAGTGACTCGTCTCTCACCAGTCCTCCCAGTAGATCTCTGGTTTATTGTTGCTGGTTGGATTCTGGTCTCTTCCATCCAACCAGTGGCTCCACTTTGCCGTTTTCTGTCTGGATCCAATTTCTCTGTTTTGGGTTCAGCAGCTGATCTGGTTCTGATGTTTTCTATCAGGTTGTAGTTCTGTGAGCTTCAGAACCACTGAGACCCATTCAGACCAGTAATCTGGACTTTAGCTCCCAGAAACATTGACCTCAGAAACCAGTGATGAATGTTTGCAGATGTTGAAGGTTCTGCTTTTCCTTCCTGCCTTCAGTTTTTCACATTCATGTTCATTTGAATCCAAGATGGCCGCCTGCTGGTTGTACTTTATTTCTCCTGAATTCACCTCAGTCTCAGGTTGGTGGTCATAATGTTCTGCCGCTGATGCATGATGCTGGTCTGACCATTAAAGGAGAACCAGGTTCTGGTGGGTCCGGTTCTTCTCTGGTTTACTGGTTGATCTGTGGATGATATTCAGAATGAAATGATGAGTTTTTGGATCAAACAGCGATTCTTTAGAAATGTCCAAATTGTTGTTTGATCAACTAAATGCTTCAGTTTCACAGCAGAAAGTGACTGAAAGTTACTGGAAGGTTTAAACTCTGTAACTAGAAAATCAGAACCAGAAACCCAGAAAAATAAAGTCAGAAGAATTTTATTTTTTATAAAGTCACAGAAATAAAATCTGCCCAACAATCACAAGATACTAAAACAAAAATCTTTCTCATCAAATAGATAAAACAAGCTGAAAACTGACAGCAGGATTTCTGCTAATAAACAGCAACTCTGAAAACATTCATGCTTTTTCAGTTTCATCTGTTTCCATCTTTCAGTTTTAAATGTATTTATTTTAATGCACTTTTATCAGTTTTCTGACTTTTTGCTCAATGTGAGTTAATGTTACATAACAGATCAGAGTTCAGGATCACTGAGCCGTTTAGCAGACAGACTGAAATCTTTCATCTCTAGTGAAGAACTGATCATTATTTCTACACCAAACCCTCATCTTGTGTCCTCAGTTTCCCAGCATGCACTGGGAGGAGTGGTGGAGGTCAATGAGGGCGGAGTCTGTCCTGCTGCCCTGCATCTACTCTGATAGTCTACCTGTAGACCCGTCACTCATCTGGACTCGCAGTGACCTCAGTCCGAACTCCGTCCACCTGCAGAGAGAAAACGGCGACGATCTTCAGAACCAGAACCAGCGTTTCAGGAACCGGACCTCCATGAATCCTGACGCTCTGGACACTGGAAACTTCAGCCTGACTCTGAGGAAACCTGAGCAGATTGATGGAGGAAACTACACTGCAGCATCTCTAATGGAAGAGAAACTGAACCTGAAACAGATTCACCTGAAGGTCAAAGGTCAGATAAACAAGCAGCACAACCTATGTTAAAGTTCTATGAATGAATGAATTTGTTGAAATGAGAAAATGAATAATTGATCATAGTGTCTGTAACCATGGAGACAGTGATGAGACTAAATCTGACATGAAAGCAGAAAATGATCCAAACTGTTTCTGATCATTTTCTTCTTTATTTCCTCTCAGCTGATCAGCAGGAGGTCGAGGTCACTGAGGGGTCAGATTCTGTCGTCCTGCCCTGCACAACATCATCCCGCCTTCCTGAGGACACATCAGTGGAGTGGACCCGCTCAGAACCAGAATTTATGATGGTTCACTCAAGCAGCAACCAGAGAAACCAGGACGGATTTTACCGCGACCGAACAGAGATGGACCAAGATTTCCTGAGGACCGGAGACGTCGGCCTGACCCTGAGGAATCCCACACACAGAGACGCTGGACGCTACGTCTGCACCGTCTACAGAGACCAGGACGTCCTGAGACACACGCTGGTTCTGAAATATGTACAGAAAGGTCAGAGCATCAGGTCAGAGCTGCTGGTAAAGGTCAAAGGTCAGAGTGAGGTCAATCTTTCTCTGTTTTCCACAGAACCCTTTCCATCCTGGGCCACAGCTCTGCTGGTTCTGCTGGTTCTGGTTCTCATCGTCTCTGCAGGATTTTTATATCATTTTAAAGATTTTTTCCTGCCAGGTGAGTCTGAATGTTTCTGACCCAGAATGTGAGAGACTTCATGTGACCTGTCCTAGGGGTCAGAGGTCAACAGTTTTGTTCCTGTCATCAGTTCAGATCCTTGTGTTCATTCATGTTCAGATCAAATGCAGCATCAGAAACATGAACAGAACCAGAACCAGCAGCTGCTGCTTCTCTACAGTCTGTTAGAGGATCTCAGTGTTTCTGCTGTTTTTCACTTTTCTGGAAGTTTGTTCCAGATTTTTGGTGCATAGAAGCTGAAAGCTGCTTCTCCATGGTTCTGGTTCTGGATGCAGAGCAGAACCAGAACCAGCAGGTTGATGCAGCAGCTGCAGATCTTTAATCGTTCAGTGATTTATAAACTAGCAGCAGGTTTAAAGTCTCTTCCTGTCAGTGAAGGACTGTGGAAGTGGGCGGAGTTTGGATGTTTCATTAGTTATTGATAAAGTTAAATAAAGTAAAAGAGAGAAACTAAACACAACAGAATTCACCACTTTAAAGTAATACTCAGCTTCTTCTGGGCAAAATGAGCAAACAGAAAATTTCTAAAGCAGTGGGGCCCAAAGTGGCCCCCCCCCAAACCTGCATGTTTCAGTCTCAGGTTTAATCCAACTGGATCCAATGAGGCTCGTTAGGAGAACATTGACCTGCTGAACAGGTTGTTGGTACCAGGAGAGAATAAAACCTGCAGGATGCAACCGGCCCTCCAGGACCCACTTGGGCCCCACTGGTCTAAAGTTATAAAATACAAACATTATTCTCTGAAACACAAATAGACTGATGGTCATAATTACACTTAAACTACCAACAAACTCAACTTCAACTGATCTGCACTGATTCCTGAACTAAACATCACTCAGTAAATGGCTGCGGCCCCTAGTGGCCAAGATAGAAACTACAAGGGAGGAAGGAAGGGTCCCTCTCTCTCTCTCTCTCTTTCTCTCTCTGTCTCTCTCTCATCTTGTCCTCTGTGTCTCTCAGCTCCACAGGTGAAGGTGGATTCAGGGGTTAAATCTGTCGTGCTGCCCTGCAGAACCAACATTTACCTGCCAGGTGGCGCCAGAGTGGAGTGGAGGAACGGAGAGAACAAGACGGTCCATGTGTATCCGAGCGGTTCTAATGATCCTGAAGAACAGAACCTGACCAGCAGAACCATGGATGACGACCCACTGAAGACTAAAGACCTCAGTCTGACTCTGGACCGCCCCTCAGTGGCAGACAGCGGGATCTACACCTGCAGAGTCAGGAAACGAGTCACCCTGATGATGAAACGGGTTCATCTGCAGGTCAGAGGTCTGTGGCGTAAATGTTGGATTTTTCCAATCAGATGATTGGTGGTGATCAATAGCGATTATTATAAGGTGAAAGGTCAATGTGATGAGTGAGGAAGAGGAGGAACCAGATCAGGAGGTTTGATTTGTCAGTCAAAAATCACAGAGAAAAGAAAACTGGTTGATTTTTAGCTCTTTGCTCAGGTTGATGACATCAGTGGATAAAATCGGCCGATTATTGATTTCCCAAAATGAAGGAAATCAGTACCGATCAATGTTCTGGCCATAACGCAGTGGCTAACCGGGAACTGAGACTTTAGAGCAGAAACACAGAGTCAGCAGGTTGAGACTCAAACACACAGCTGCACATTCTCACCTCAACACAAACCTCTAAATGTGAACTCTGAGTGCAGCTCACTGTGAACATTGAGCTACACATTGAGCCACAGCTAAAGCAGTGGATTTAAACTTGACTTCTTGATCAATTCTCCAAAGACACATGGATTCTCATCCTCATGATATTAATGTCCATAAAGCTGAGCCGAGATGAGCTGAGCCTGTAAACGATCTGCAGCAACCTGATTGGTCCTTGTTCAATGCATCCACTGTTAAAACTAGAAACTTGTCTTTCTGTCAGGAATGATTCTCCCTGCCAGTAAAATGCTCTCCATGGAAGAGACGCTTGCAGTCAAGCTTATTAAAGAATAAATCTTTTAAACAAAAATAGTTTTTTTCTTTTTAATAGAAGCAGAAACACACAAAGCTTCGCCTGGCAGCAGGGCATGTAAAGCATGGTGGCCTGCCAGGCCTGTGATGCACTGGGGAACTGAGTGGTTGTGGGCACTGAACCTGAATAACAGATAAAAGTTGCAATAAATTTCAGGAGGTTCGGCTGCAGGATGAGTTTCAGAGGAGAAAGAAAATGGAAACACGAAAGGAAAGACAACAGGTTCCCTGATCTGATAGGAGCAGCGATGAGCCTTTCATTGGCCGTCTGCTCGCTGCTGTCGGCTCTGAACCCTAAACATCTAGACAGGAAACAGAACTGCTTTCACATTCTTTAGCCACTTCAGAATAAGAGCACGAATAACTAAAACTGCAACACAGACAAACTTTATTCAAGGAACATTAGTTTAGGGCAGTGCTTCTCCTGCCCTGCATGTTTTAGTTGTTTCTCTTCTGCCTGGATTGAATCTGTGGTGATTAACAGGCTTCTGCAGGACTTGATGACTGCAGAAAAAGTCATGCAGTCATTTGGATCAGCTGTTCTGAAATAGAGACACTAAAACAAGCAGGACTGAGGACTGGAACTGAGAAGCTCTGGTTTAGGGGAAGCTTAGTGCAGGTATAATTATCTCTGCTATTATCGTCCCAATGTCAATGAATGCAATATGCATATGAAGAGGAAGCAATGCAGGGTTTATCCCAACGTTCAGCAGCATCATTGCATGTTTTCCTCCTGCATCAGTCGCTGTTTGGATCAGCTACAGATGAAGGAAACCATCAGTCTGTCAACGTTCAGTTTCACCTCCAACAGCTGATTGTCTTAGTGAGGTTCCTACAAGTTCAGCTCACCAAGCTGCACTTTACCAAGATCTCTGTCTGCTGCAGCATGATGCTGCCTGCTGCAGCACGATGCTGCCTGCTGCATCGTCCCCAGAGAGCCTCAAGAAAAGCAGCTCGGATTCTTATGCTAATAAATCCTGTTTGTAGGGACAACAGCTACAGTGTTGATGTCACTGCAATATAAACCACAACAGATAACGGTGTGTTTTTAGCTCACACCTATAATCTGACACACTCAGCCAGCGGGCCTGATGCAGGCAGATCCTCTACTCTGACCTAGAAAACATTTTGGAGGGAAAATCTCAGACAAACTTCATAAAAGCAAAAACGTTTCACTGGAACTAAACCCAAACTCTTTAAATCAACTTAGTAACAGATTACATCACATTGTAATGCAACACATAAACAGTTACAAGTATTTAATGTTATAAACATTACTGAGGGAGAGATAGCATTAGCACACATCTGACCAGCAGCTTCTGTTGCTGCAGCTTCTGTTGCTGCAGCTTCTGTTGCTGCAGCTTCTGTTGCTGCAGCTTCTGTTGCTGCAGCTGCTGCTGTCACTGAAACATGTGCAACATCAGTAGAGGAGCTTCGTCTCAGAGCCAAACATCACGTTTCCTTTAATTATGTTTTTTTATGGCTACATGATCCATCAAACCATATCAAATACTTTGTCTGCTTAGTCACAGTTTTTCACTGGAGATCTGAAAAAGTTTCCATGAAGCTCAGAAACCAAAACAGTTTTTGTGGCTCTCATTAAAAACACATCAGATTGTTGCTATGGTAGTTAAATAATTTTAAATTGTTTAATCTTTGTATGATGAAACCATTAAATCAAATTGAGCAGCATTGATCATCTCAATAAATAAATGTTATTTTTCTATATCTAAATGTTAAAATGTTAAAATGTTCCCATTTTTGGGCCCCTGAAGGTTTGGGGCCTTATGGACTTATATTGGATTTAACAGAATCCAATAATTGATATTCATTTTAATTGAATGTTTTTCATTTGTTGTTTTTAATAGCTGATTTAAATATAATTTCACTGGCGATGTTTTCCTGCAACATTTAATGATTCAGTAATATTTTTACATTTCCTGTCAACTTAATATCTTTTAATATAAAAACGGTGGACGCCTCGGCGCCCCGATCGCCGGGCTGAGCAAGATTTCTGGGGGAAAAACTGTAAATAAATGACCTCAGCTACAAACTGAGCCGTTATTGTTTCTCACAGCAGGAACATGCAAGGTAACATGAGTTAAACTCAGCTGTGTTTTACTAACAATCACTGTGAAACTCAAGGTTTCTATGTTTCAATAGACATTAAGGAGTTGGCCAGACCTTTAATGTTCTCACGTTGATGGCTAAATAACTGTTAGCTGAACATAAAAACCTCCAGGCTCTTTGGTCAAAGCATCATGTTCTGCTGATCCTGCAGACACTTCATAGTCAGACAGGGACTGAGTTTCCAGTTCTCTCAATGGGGCCTGAAGGTTTTGGTGGTTGACAAAAAAAGATTACAGACTAGACTACAGACTACAGACTTTGTAGACTCACCAGGGCCGGCCCAAACCTCCATGGGGCCTGAAGCTAAATGTGGTTTTTGATCCTTTGTTTCTGCTAACAATGTGGACCGGCTGCAATCAACAGTTAGAATATTAGATCATTTCCACACCTGCTATAGATTTATTGCATCTCTGATGGTTCTGTTGCATTACATCCTCTGCATGTAGAATATAGAATATATTTATCAGCCAGTCGATTTCTGGGAGCTGATTTCCTTCATTTTGGGGGATCGTGATCTGCTAATATTTAGAAATGAAGCCCATCTCATCCCCTGATCTCATTTTCATCAGCGAAGGTTTAAAAATCAGCCTCTGTCTTCTTCTGCTCTGCAGTGAGACGTTTGACTGACTGACCGGCCCACCAGGTCATGTCTGAATGTTAACAGTTAACAATATTCATCTCACTGTTGCCAACTCACTGACTTTATTCCTATATTTAGCAACATTTCAGACAAAGAAAACATTGGTATAAAATTAGCGGATCAGGTTTTTTAAAGATCAGTAATCAGCCAAAAACTGCAATCGGTGCAGCAATACACACATATTCATGACTTTCTTTGATTAAATTAATTTCTCTGAAGCATAACTCCAAAAGCTAAAGAATATAATTTACACCAGGTGAGTCTCTCTCTCCTGACAATATGGACCGGTACCAGTACCGGGTTGATTCTGAGCCTTCAAATGATTTAACAGAAATTCACAGAACTTAGAAGTTGATGTAAAATAATGTTTGTTTTAGCCACAAAATGATCAGCAGCAAACAACAAACCACCAGCTGCAGCTTAGAGCAGCTCAGTGATTGATGCAGCAGCCATGCAGCCTGACGGGAAACATTTTGCTGGATGTCAAACATTGAGAAGTTTAAATTATTCTTATCAAACGTAATCAAACAACGTTTTGAACCAAAAAACCTGAGAAATGTTCAGAGTCCAGCAGGAGAATCGACTCATTTCAAGTTAAAACTCAGTTTCACACAAAGACGCAGCTTAAATGTTTGGCTGTTGAACTGAATCGTTCAAGATCTCAATAAAGTTAATAATCTATCAGCAGCTTCACAAATCTCTTTTATAAACATTACATTACCAAGACACATTAAAACAAACCTTTATCTTGGCTTCTTTCTATTCTCCCTGAATGATAAGTTCTTTTTTGAGACATTATTTTGCCAACTTATCTTCTGATCAGAGCTTTGGACGTCTTGATGCTCAAAGCTCAGCAGCTCATGTTACTGGCAAAGGGTGCGGTACCAACCACGGCCACCAGGGGCCCCAAGAGCATTTATCTTTTATTTTCTACCATAAAATGATTTTTACATAAATTACCAAATATGTTGTGAAAACAAATCACTTTATGATCAAATTGTGTGTTTTTGTTGTTGTGATGACAGAAATCCTGATTAAAAACAGGAATATGGCTGCACTGTGGTGACGTTGGGGTTTAGCACAACCCACGTTTGGAGGCCTTCGTACTCGACGCGGCGGTCACGAGTTCGATTCCCAGACCAGGCGACATTTGCTTCATGTCTTCCCCTCTCTCCTTCTGTCTCTCCTGTCAGGCTATTTTGGAATAAGGGCCAATAGTGCCCACAAAAATATTTGGAAAAAGAATATCATCAACTACCAGAAATACCAGGGCCTCAGGGAGGAACTGGAGAGGGCCTGGAAGGTGAAGACCACAGTGGTGCCTGTGGTCATCGGGGCCCTCGGGGCAGTAATCCCCAAACTGGATCAATGGCTACAACAGATCCCAGGAACAACATCAGACATCTCAGTCCAGAAATGTGCAGTCCTTGGCACAGCCAAGATTCTGCAGAACCCTCAAGCTCCCAGGCCTCTGGTAGAGGACCTGAGCTCAGAGGATAAGAACCACCCGCGGTGGGTGAGAAGGGAATTTTTTTATATATTTCAGCTCCACTGAGGGGCCCGTTGGTGGCCCTGGGGCCCTTAGCAGCTGCTTATGCCTTGGGCCGGCCCTGAGACTGACATTGGAGTAATTTTTGAGTTTAATCTAATTATTGAAATATGTTTTCTTCATAAAAATTTATGGAGAAGAACCAAACTGGCCACTTTATTAGTCCAGCAAATTGTTTTTATTTTGTTTATTTTCTTTCTTTTTTCAGATATTGTTGGTCTGTATCAGCCTGACCTTAAAGCGTCTCTGAAGATGAAGATCCAAAGTCTCCCTGAAGGCGTCGCTGAACTTGGAAATAAAACCGGTCTGAACCAGATCGACACTGAGCTCTACATCACAGAGGGGTCAACTAGAGAGGTCAACCAGGAACATGAGGTCAGACAGATTGAAACAGCATCCAGGAAACAAGAAACAATCAGAAGAGAAGACATCTTTAAAGTCCCACCTGGAGGAGATCAACCAATCAGAACAGTGATGACCATGGGCGTGGCTGGCATTGGGAAAACACTGTTAACACAGAAGTTCACTCTGGACTGGGCTGAAGGCAAAACCAACCAGAACATTGATTTTATATTTCTATTCACCTTCAGAGAACTGAATTTACTGAGAGAGAAAAAGTTCAGCTTATTAGAACTGATTCATGAACGATTCACTAAAACCAAAGGAATCAGAAACTTTGAATCGTTCCAGGTTCTGTTCATCTTTGATGGTCTGGATGAAAGTCGATTTAATCTGGATTTCAAGAACAATCTGATCCTGACTGATGTTACAGAGTCCAGCTCAGTGGATGTTCTGCTGACAAACCTCATCAGGAAGGAACTGCTTCCCTCTGCTCTCCTCTGGATAACCACACGACCTGCAGCAGCCAATCAGATCCCTGCTCAGTGTGTTGACATGGTGACAGAGGTCAGAGGGTTCACTGACCCCCAGAAGGAGGAATACTTCAGGAAGAGATTCAGAGATGATGAAGAGAAGGCCAGCAGGATCATCTCCCACATCCAGAAATCCAAGTCTCCACATCATGTGTCACATCCCCGTCTTCTGCTGGATCACTGCTAAAGTTCTGGAGGATGTGATGAAGACCAGAGAGAGAGAGAAACTACCCAAGACTCTGACTGAGATGTACATAGAGTTCCTGCTGGTTCTACTCAACATCAAGGAGGAAAAATATGATGGAGGAAAAAAGAGCAAATCTATCTGGAGTCCAGAGAACAGGAAGCTGATTGAGTCTCTAGGAAAACTGGCTTTTGATCAGCTGCTGAAGGGAAACCTGATCTTCTATGACAAAGATCTCACACAGTGCGGCATCAACATCCAAGATGCTGCGTTGTTCTCAGGAGTTTTCACTGAGATGTTTAAAAGAGAGAGAGGGACACGCAACGTCTCCGTCTACTCCTTTGTTCATCTGAGCATCCAGGAGTTTCTGGCTGCAGTCTACATGCTCCACTGCTTCACCAGCAGGAAGTCAGAGGAGATCAAGACGTTCCTGGGAGACGAATACAGAGAAACATCTCTAGATGAGTTCATGAAGAAAGTCATGGAGAAATCCCTCTGGAGTAAAAATGGCCACCTGGACCTGTTTGTCCGCTTCCTTCATGGTCTCACTGTGGAGTCCAACCAGAGAGTCTTAGAAGATCTGCTGGGTCAGACAGAGACCAGTCCAGAAACCATCCAGAGAATCATCACCAACCTGAAGAAGATGAACACTGATAGAATCTCTCCTGCCAGAAGCATCAACATCTTCTACTGTCTGGTGGAGATGAACGACGTCTCATTTTATCAGGAGATCCAACGGCTGCTGGATTCAGGGCAGCAGCTCTCAGTGACTGACTGTTCAGCTCTGGCCTTCATGCTGCAGATGTCAGAGGTTCTGGATGAGTTGGACCTGGAGAAGTACAACACATCAGATGATGGACGACGGAGACTGGTTCCAGCTGTGAGGAACTGCAGAAAGGCTCGGTGAGTCCAGATGTTTTCATTGTGTGATGCTGATTCAGCTCTATTGTCCTCCTGTTTCTTCTTCTGTCTTCAAGTTGATTCTGGATGTTTTTGCTCTTTATCTACTTCCTTCATCCTCTGGATTATTTTTCATAAACTTTATATTTTGTTGTTTTTACAGTTTCAGAAATATAAATACTTTGAACATTCAAACCTCCACTAACAAAAGCTGCAAAGTATCTTGTTGAACAAAGACAATTAAATAATAAAACAATAAAACCCAAAGTGAGAACTTTCACAATAAAACTAGATGATTACATTGATCCTCCAGTTGGTTCCAGGTTCAGGTTTCTTCTCTTCCAATATTTTTATTGATCAGCAGAAAGTCTTCATGACAGTCAGTCTCTCCACTGGATGAATTTCCTTAATTATTTCCTTCCAGTCTAATGTGAATGTTCTGATCATCATCATCATCATCATCATCAGTGTTGCATGTTATTCGCCCAGGAAAACATGAAAACATTCTGGGGAGGAAATTTCACATGTTCTCTGATGAGATTAAAATAAGTTTGTGTCAAACTGACTGTCTGTTCGTGTCTGCTGCTCCTTTGTGGTGTTAATTTAAAAACTCAGCATGCAGAAGCTGCTGGTTGCTTATCTTGACTCTGAGAGCATTCTGCTAAAGAAACCAGGTTCTGCAGAGCAAGAGAGACGTTTTGTAACAAGCAGAAATATTAAGTAGGGAACTGGTTACAGGTCTGAGAACAAACACAAAGTGTTCGGTTCCCCATGTACACTCAATCAATCAGTCAATCAATCAATCAGTCAATTAATCAATCAATCAGTCAATCTGATTGATTGATGTACACTCACTGCTAAGTTAATGATGAATATTCATGAATATTTATCTTATGCCAGTCGACACATACAGTTACATTTAGCTATCAAGCTGCAGCATTTATGATGCTGCACTATGCTGCAGCATCATAAATGCTGCAGCATAGTGCAGCATCATAAATGCTGCACTATGCTGCAGCACTTATGATGCTGCAGCTCGTGGTAAAAATGAGTCAATTTTTTAAGATAAAGTGTTTATCAGAAAACCTAAAGATCAAATCAGGATTGATTTAACACCAGAGACAGAAAAATAGAGCAAAAGGTGATTTGAACTGCAGTTGGAACAATTATTGACAATATATACAGGGGTTAAAGTTCATCAATAACTGGTTCAATCCTCCATTAATCACAAACACTGAAAAATAAGTTGATTAAATTCATAAAAAATGTCCAATGCTGATAAAGATCCAGTTCAGTTTCACCAAACCAAGAACCAAAGTACTGAAGAGGGAGTTGGGAAAGCATTTATTGATTTAATATAGATCAGATATTGACTCGATCAATATCTGCCGATAACAGATATTGATCAGTTATCGGCGTTTGATTCATCAATTTCAACCTCAAATGATTCGTTGACACATTTTCAACTTTGGTTCTGACTAGAATTGGATGATTGTTTGCTGATTGATCATTGATTATGGACCAGAAATCAACCATTCTGACTATAATCCATCGTTGACGTAGCATCCTGTGCTATCAGGTCGGCTAACTCCGGGTCAGTTAGCGTTAGCAGTTAGCGTTAGCAGTTAGCGTTAGCAGCTCATCGTCTGGTCTTGTTCCTTAATAGTTCCTCCCATAATGTTGTTTTCTCTGATGGATCAATAAAAGCAGCAACGTGGCGATGAGGGTTCAGCCTCGGCCACAGACCCTTTCCTGAATCTGATAATCCACATTAATCTTAATCCTGGCAGAATGTGATTCATACAGACTGAAACAACCTATAATCTGATTATTAAAGCCAAATCTGTCCAGAGCTCAATAAAGATATTTCCACACATTGAATCAAAAGCCTTTTCAGCATCTAAATGACTTTATTGATTCTGTTTAACCTTTGACCTGTGAGGTCAGGAGCCCACGTTGTCATGGGTTTGAATGTTGATGATAAAACCAGATTAAATCTGATCTGTGTCTGTAATTCCTGGGATTATAATATTTATCCAGTGTTGCTGCAGTGATCCTGTAATCAATGTTTCAAACTGATGTTGGTTTATGAACCACATCCAGTTTCATCTTTACCAGGTTTAGGAATCACTGACATCTCTGCTCTGATCCAAGATGGCGGCGTTTCCCCTCCACAAAGTTCTGATCAAATCAATCCTTCAGCAGCCGCTCTGCCGGGTCGCCTCCTCACCTGCCGTCTGATTCCCTTTCAGTCTTTAATGACTTTATTGATCAGTGATTAGTTGTTAGTGGATGATTTTGATCTGTTCCTATCGATGGTGAATCCAGAGCAGCAGCAAAAACTGCATGAGGCTGAGAGCAGAACTGAGTGGAGGATCATTCAACAGATTCTCATGTGTTTTAGAGATCGGTGTCTTTATCTGTTGGATTTTAATTTATTGATAAATCTATTAGTTTGCTATCAGTTTCTTTGCTTTGATCTCTTTCCATAATAGTTGAGTTGAATAAATTTATCCTTTTCCTCCATCTGGTTTCATAGAAACAGTTTCTCCTTGTTTCTCTGATTTGTTATTATTATTATTTTCCATACGTTTTATTTGAAGAGATTTTAGTTTTCTAATCTTTTAAACATTTCTCTCTTTCTCGTTAGAGAACCAGATAATTAAAGTTTTTGCTTCGTCCCATAAAATCCAGGGAGAAAAATCCTCTGTGTTGTTCTGGTTCAAATCATCTTTGAGTCATTTTTCCTGAAATCTGTTAAATTTAGTGTCATTAATAAACTATAATTATTGTTGATTCTCCACAGGGTTTCTTTGGTTCATGACCCAAATGGAGTCAGAAACACTCTGCATGATCAGACGTCTCTCATCTGTCACATTTTATGATTCATCCACCAAACATGATTCATAAAACAAGATTTTAATATAAACTGTTTCTGTCTGCAGTGGCGGAGCTCGACTTTTTTTCAAGGGGTGGCCAAAGGGTGAGCAAGGCATTATCACAGGGGTCCATATACAAATGATGGTCTTGCGCTGGTCCGGCCCGGATCCGGCCCTTTCCTGGCCCGGGTCTGTCCCTGGTCTTGCGCTGGTCTGGCCCGGGTCCGTCCCTTGTTTTGCCGTGGCCTGGCCCTGGTCCGGCCCGGATCCGGCCCTTTCCTGGCCCGGGTCTGTCCCTGGTCTCGCGCTGGTCTGGCTCGGGTCCGGCCCGGATCCGGCCCTTTCCTGGCCCTGGTTTTGCCGTGGCCCGGCCCTGGTCTGGCCCGGATCCGCCCAGGTTCAGCCCGAGTCCGGCCCTTTCCTGGCCTGGGTCTATCCCTGGTCTTGCGCTGGTCCGGCCCGGATCTGGCCCTGGGCTGGCCCTGGTCCGGCCCTGGTCTGGCCCGGGTCCGGTCCTGGTCTGGCCCGGGTCCGGTCCTGGTCTGGCGCTGGTCCGGCGCTGGTCTGGCCCGGATCCGGTCCTGGTCTGGCCCGGGTCCGGCCCTTTCCTGGCCTGGGTCTGTCCCTGGTCTTGCGCTGGTCCGGCCCGGATCCGGCCCTTTCCTGGCCCGGGTCCGTCCCTGGTTTTGCCCTTTCCAGGCCCTGGTCTGGCGCTGGTCCGGCGCTGGTCCGGCCCGGATCCGGCCCTTTCCTGGCCCGGGTCTGTCCCTGGTCTCGCGCTGGTCTGGCTCGGGTCCGGCCCGGATCCGGCCCTTTCCTGGCCCTGGTTTTGCCGTGGCCTGGCCCTGGTCTGGCCCGGATCCGGCCCAGGTTCAGCCCGAGTCCGGCCCTTTCCTGGCCTGGGTCTATCCCTGGTCTTGCGCTGGTCCGGCCCGGATCTGGCCCTGGGCTGGCCCTGGTCCGGCCCTGGTCTGGCCCGGGTCCGGTCCTGGTCTGGCCCGGGTCCGGTCCTGGTCTGGCCGGGGTCCGGCCCTTTCCTGGCCCGGGTCTGTCCCTGGTCTTGCGCTGGTCTGGCCCGGATCCGGCCCTTTCCTGGCCCTGGTTTTGCCGTGGCCCGGCCATGGTCCGGCCCTGATCCGGCCCGGGTCCGGCCCTGGTCTGGCCCTGGTCTTGCGCTGGTCTGGCCCGGGTCCGGCCCTTTCCTGGCCCTGGTTTTGCCGTGGCCCGGCCCTGGTCCGGCCCGGATCCGGCCCAGGTTCGGCCCGAGTCCGGCCCTTTCCTGGCCCGGATCTATCCCTGGTCTTGCGCTGGTCCGGCCCGGATCTGGCCCTGGGCTGGCCCTGGTCCGGCCCTGGTCCGGCGCTGGTCCGGCGCTGGTCCGGCCTGGATCCGGCCCTTTCCAGGCCCTGGTCTGGCCCGGATCCGGCCCTTTCCTGGCCCGGGTCTGTCCCTGGTCTTGCGCTGGTCTGGCTCGGGTCTGGCCCGGGTCCGGTCCTGGTCTGGCCCGGGTCCGGTCCTGGTCTGGCGCTGGTCCGTCCCGGGTCCGGCCCGGGTCTTTGCCGATCTCATAAGTATATTTTAAAATGACCATTTCCGGTGGGGTGGCAGTAGGGGTGGCAAGGGCTCTGTTGAGGGTGGCAAATGCAATCCCTGCCACCCTCTGTCTCCGCCTCTGCTGTCTGAGACGTTTTAATTTTGCTGGAGACCCGAAAATGATTTTAGTGAAAGTTCCAGTTTCATATCAATATCTGATACTTTGAGTCCAAAATGTTCCTAATAATCATTACTTACTGTCAACACATTGAATCAGGAGATTCTCTATGAACCATGCAGCAGAAAATGGATCCCAACATCTTCTAGTTACTGGAGAAATTTCACTGCTTCATCATGAAAAATGGACCCAAACACTCTGGTTCTGGTTCTGTCCACCATGATCCATATCATCACTATAGTAGATCAGACTGATGGACTGAGAGTTTATCAGTCTGTCTCATCTCAATGTGTGCAGACATATTAATGAGGATCATCTGCAGATCCTGGGTCACCTGGACCCGGTTCTGACCCAGTCCAGACGGTTCAGACCGGAAGGAGCAGCAGGACCGGTTCTGCTGCTGCTCTGCAGGACGACCAGAACAACGTGAAGCTTTTAGCTGCAGCAGGTTGACGACTGTCCACTTTCTACTTTGTTAAAGCATCAAATCCAGCAGATGAACGGAGACAGAACTGGAGCATCATGTGTTTGTTCTGCTCCCAGTTTCCTCTGTGGCAGCATTTAATAACCTGCTGCTGGGAAACATGTTTCTATACAATATATTACTATTATTCATGATGATGCAGCAGATAGTGGCTCAACAAACCCAGAGATGCCAGAGGTCCACAGCAGCTGGACTTCCTGTTCTGCTCACTTCATTTATAACTCACTTCCTGCTTGGTGGAAGATCTAAACGGTCTAGTCCAAGTCAGAGCTGTGAGCAGTTCCTCCTCCTCTCCATCATCTCCAGTCGTTTCCTTCATTCAGCTCAGTCAGCCTCTTCATCAGCTGCTGCAGAGAAACTGAACTTTCCTTCACTGATGATAGAAGATCTTCAACATCTGACTGCAGCTGAAGGTCTGAGGACATGAAGCCTGGACCAGAACCAGAACCAGAACCTGGACCAGAACCTGGACCAGAACCAGAACCAGAACCTGGACCAGAACCAGAACCTGAACCTGGACCAGAACCTTAACCTGGACCAGAACCAGAACCAGAACCAGAACCTGGACCAGAACCAGAACCAGAACCTGGACCAGAACCAGAACCAGAACCTGGACCAGAACCAGAACTTGAACCAGAACCAGAAACCTGGACCAGGACCAGAACCAGAACCAGAACCTTAACCTGGACCAGAACCAAAACCAGAACCAGAACCTGGACCAGAACCAGAACCAGAACCTGGACCAGAACCAGAACCAGAACCTGGACCAGAACCAGAACCAGAACCAGAACCTGGACCAGAACCAGAACCTGGACCAGAACCAGAACCAGAACCTGGACCAGAACCAGAACCTGGACTTTAACCAGGAACTGCACAGATTCTCTGTGGGGTCAAACTCAGTAGATATTGATCAGATATTGATCAGATGATGATCAGATGATGATCAGATGATGACATCACTGTTATCATATTTTAGTCTGTTTATGATCCAGATTGATTTCATTAGAACTGAATTTATTTCTTCTCTAATCACAGACTTGGTGGCTGTTCGCTCCTAAAGGCTGAATATGAAGTTTTGGCCTCGGCTCTGAAGTCCAACCCAGATCTGACTGAACTGGAAATAAATCAGATCAACATAGATGAAGGTGGAGAATCTGATATGAATCATCTGGTTGAGATCCTGGAGAATTCAGTCAGTAAAGTGAAGATTCTGGGTTTGTTTTCTCTATTTATGCTATAAAATCATTTATTGATTCTTTAATCAATAGTTAATCAATTTAATATTAATATATATTATTTTAAAACAACTTGTTTAATCATCAGAATAAAATCTCTAAAACTTTTGACCTTATTAATTATTTTCTTATTTCAGACTTTAAGATTATTGAACTTTGTTTTTCAGTTTTTCTCTTTAAAATGTTTTTGATGAACAAAATGAGTAAAATAATTGAAATGCTGTGAATGAATGATGGAGATGTTTCAGTTTGGTAAAGATTCAGATGCTTTTATTTCTGATTCTTTACATCAGAATGAAATGTTGATCCTCCAGAGCCACAAACACTGACGAGTTCAAATCCTCATTAATGAACGTCTAAGAAACCACTGATTGTAGAAAAGCAAATCTAGATGCAATGAATGAAAGTGAGGTTTGCAGCAGCAGCAGGTTCCTCAGCTTTGTCCTGAGGCTGTGGTTCTGTTGGGCCGGGTCAGAGAGGAACCGTCTCCTGAGGAAATAATGGCCTCCATTGGCTTTCAGCAGCTTTAATAGGAACCCAAAGGCCATTAATGAAGAACCTGACTGGTTCTGATCCAGTTACCAAGTCGGGTCTGATGATCAGGAACCAGCAGAAATAGCTCAACTCATCCAGACTGATAGAAAACTTTGAGTTTCTTTGTTGATCAAATGTTCTGGTTCTGCTGGTTTGGACTCTTTAAACCAGTTTGACTGGATCAGATGTTAGAATCAGTTCATCATGTTTCTTTTACATTCAGGGAAATTAATTTATACATTTTATTATTTATTTGTTCATATTTCAGTTTTAACTGCATCCTGTTGGTTCACATCTTTTATTCTTTATTCAGATTGAGCTGCAGTTTATCAGAGACCAGCTGGACGTCTCTGTTCTCAGCTCTGAAGTCCAACCCGACCCGTCTGACAGAACTGGACCTGAGCGGAACCAACCTGGGAGATTCTGGACTGAAGGATCTCTGTGGTTTTCTACAGACTGAAGGCTGCAGACTGGAGAGATTGGTGTATTTTAATGATATAATTATTGATATTTCTGTGAATAATTCTATATAATTGATCATCAATCAAAGTTCATTTCTTCTGATCTAATCAATATTTTCTGAGTTTGTTCCTGGATCCAGAGTTTAATTTAGTTTCTCTGTGTAACTGAGTTGGACCTGCTGATCTGAGGTCAGAACAGGACAGCATTCGGACCCCAGTGTGTAGAAATCCCCCTCAGGTCAAGCAGGTCAAAGGTCAACATGAAATGTCCCTTTATTGAAGATCCATAAATCCCACATTAGCTTTAAATCTCCTGCTATTAGTTGATGATGATCCAGTCCAGGTTCACAGAGTCCAGGTGTTGCAGTGCTTTAACTAGACCAGATTAAAGATGCTGATATCCTGATCAATATTCCCATTTCTGCAGCGTCTCTGATGAATGATTCAGAACCAGAACCAAATGACCCACAATGACCTCACAGAGAAAAGGATCAATATTTTCTAGTTGATGGTTCAGAAACTGAATCAGCACAAAATGATCAACTTTCAGAATGTGATGATATGATAAAAGGATTGAAATCAACCCGTTTCCATCTGTCATACTGAGCAATGAGCTGCAGTTCAAATACAAGCAGCAAGAAAAACATCATTAATAGATTAATGAAGAAAAACTGGAGCCATAAAATATCAGCAGATCAATGATGGACAGAGCAGTCGGAGAATCCAGAGCCTGGAAGGAAACATGGAGAGAAAAACATCCACTGAGTTTAAGATCCTCAGAAACTTTGAGACAAACTTTGAGTTTCTTTGTTGATCAAATGTTCTGGTTCTGCTGGTTTGGACTCTTTAAACCAGTTTGACTGGATCAGATGTTAGAATCAGTTCATCATGTTTCTTTTACATTCAGGGAAATTAATTTATACATTTTATTATTGATTTGTTCATATTTCAGTTTTAACTGCATCCTGTTGGTTCACATCTTTTATTCTTTATTCAGATTGAGGGAATGCAGTTTCTCAGAGACCAGCTGGACGTCTCTGTTCTCAGCTCTGAAGTCCAACCCGACCCATCTGACAGAACTGGACCTGAGCAAAACCAACCTGGAAGGTTCTGGACTGAAGGATCTCTGTGGTTTTCTACAGACTGAAGGCTGCAGACTGGAGACATTGGGGTATTTTAATGATATAATTATTGATATTTCTGTGAATAATTCTATATAATTGATCATCAATCAAAGTTCATTTCTTCTGATCTAATCAATATTTTCTGAGTTTGTTCCTGGATCCAGAGTTTAATTTAGTTTCTCTGTGTAACTGAGTTGGACCTGCTGATCTGAGGTCAGAACAGGACAGCATTCGGACCCCAGTGTGTAGAAATCCCCCTCAGGTCAAGCAGGTCAAAGGTCATCCAGTCTAGAAAAGTGAAATCCTGGAATCTGACAGGAACAAATCAATAATCAATGATTGATGCTTCAACACTTTGATCAGAACCTGGAATGATTTTACTGACTAAAATCCTCCAACACATCATGACCCAGTACCAGGTTCTGGTTCTGGTTCTGGTTCTGAAGTCAGCAGGTCTTTATTGGAGCAGCAGCTTGTTGGCATTAATATTCATGAGAATCTTTAACTGGTTCTGTTGGACTGGTTAACCTGCATCCTGTTGGTTCACATCTTTTATTCTTTATTCAGGTTGGATGACTGCAGGTTGTCAAAGATCAGCTGTGATTATTTGGTCTCAGCTCTGAAGTCCAACCCGACCCGACTGACAAGACTGGACCTGAGAGGAAACAACCTGAAGGAATCAGATGTTCAGCAGCTGATGGATCTTGTAGAGACTTTAAAGTAAGTAAATGTTTGCAGTGAGTCCAGCTGCTGTCAGCATATTGAACTAAACCCAGTCAGCATCAAAGCAAAGATCCAGTGTTCCCAGTAAAGCTGCAGCTTCTCAGTGGGAGGAGAATGGTTCAGGCTTCCTGATTGGACACAGCAATCAGCCAATCAGAGGAGCAGCAGCTTGCTGTGTTGTTGCTGTGTCCATGTCTCCAGGACGTCCAGCTGGACTCCAGCGTCCAACATGTCTAGAGACAGTGGTCCTCATTCATCAAACAGCAGCAGATCTGATCTCAGACCTGCTTGTTCTCTCAGTTCAACAGGAAACAACTGATCAGGTTCATCTTGGTCACAGCTCTGAGATCAGTCTGACTGGAAACCATCTACTGGATGTGCTGCGTCACTGACTGCTACTGGAAACACTCACTGATCTGCTCTCCTTCCTTCTTCTCTCTGCAGGTTGTTCTGATCTCTGTAAAGTAGAGAACGTCTCTGTGTCCTGCTGATCCTCACAGGTTGAAGCTGCAGCAGTTTGAGTCTAAAGAGACTCTGGATCAAGATGATGACCTTTGACCTCAGAACATTTTCCATCTCTATTTCAAATATTTTCCAGACGTCGATTGTTGAAGATTTTCAGTTTTATTTTTCATCTGATCTGTTTGATAATCTGCAGGAACAAAAGAGAGAAAAATACTCTGAGTTTGTTAGAAAAGTTGAATTGAGCAAAAACATGAAGCATAAATTTCATTAAAAAGCTTTAAAGAGTTTGTTAATGGGACAAAATGTCATTTTATTCTGTTGAGGTGAAAAAGTTGATCTAACATCAGACATGATAGCAGCTCTATAGATTCAGAGCCAAACAGTAAAACTTCCTCTGGATCTGTGGCATTAAATCCACTTGAGATCCAGACGTCCTGACCAGATCCTGCAGAGAAAAGAAACAATATTTGAACGTGGATCATTTGGACTCGGCTGCTTGGATGTGTGTTTGGATTTGAAAGGTTTTGTTGTGAAGCAGAAAGTTGATGAAGTTCACAGTGAAGACGACTTCAGTCCACCTGAAACCTGGTTTCACTCAAACGTCTTTATTCACTTTAAGTTTCTGATGCAACAAGAAGGAAGAAAAGGTCAAAGGTGAACCAGAGATCGACTCCATGTTGCTCACAGATGTGATGGGATCAGTTTGCACAGCTGTTGTTCAAGGAGAACAGTTTTATTTTCCTGCTTTTGTTGATGGATGCAAATTTGCATCAGAAGATGAGAAAATAACTTTCTGTGGTTTATTTGTGTGGATTTAAAGTGAAACAAGTTTAAAGAAAAACTAGAGGAGAAACCTGAGCCAGCGTTCTGACAGACCAAACACTGAGGAAGCAGAGTTTGCATCGTCAAAGTGACGAAATCATCTGAATGTTGTGACTCGTTTCCCATCAAATCCCTGACAGGAGAAGCAAAACCTCACGTCTCCAACATGAAGCTGCAACAGGATGCAGAACTTCCACCGAGCGTCACGTCACTCACAGCAGATCAGGAGCCTCGCTCTTCACCTCAACACCGCCTAAAACCTGGGACCAGGGGTTAAAGGTCATCTCCTGCACCTAGTGCAACATTTCACTCCTTATGAGAGCGCGTCTCAGTTTAGAGGCCAAAACCAGCAAGAAGCTTCAGAGTTTTCCTGCAACGTAGCTCTGGTCTATTGGCTTCAGTGAGGCTGGTTTTACTGAAGATGTGTTCAGGTACGCAGGAAAATTCAGCGCTGATACAGACGGGACGAGCGACTCCACCTCTGATGATGCTTGGATAAAAGTTTATATGTTCATGAGATGAAACAGTTAATTTTCCTCACATATCAGGACATTCTCCATCGGTCATCCTGCCGTCGTTCTGGATTTATTCATTATTTACATCATCAATAGAAATTGTTCAACCAGATGTTTCTCTTTGTTTTAATTTTCACTGTTATAAAGTCAGATCAAGTCAGCTTACATTACTGTCATTAAATAAGAGTCACTGCAGGATTTTATTCAGTTTGATTAGAAATAAAACGTCTTGTAAAGAGTTTAATACAGCAGCTTTATTTTATAATTTTAAACAGTTTTTAAAATAATAAAGAACAGTTATTCTTATGTCAGCTGGTTGTTTTTTTCTTGATATTTGAAGCTTTTTCATACTTTCATTCTCAAAATTAACAACAGTTAATATTTCTGGGATTGTTACACAATAAAATGTAGGATTTTTTCAAACTAAATTTCCATCTATTGTAAAATAAAATATTACTTTATAAGTAGTTGTTGTTCACTTTGTGTCTAAATTATTCTAATCTTAATCTCCATCTCTAATAACATACATGTATGAAATATATAAATTATTATTCACAGGATTAAGTTAATATAACTTGTCATTAGAAACTAGTGAAAAGTTTAAAAGTTTATTAGTTTTATGATGGTTGATTGAGTTCTTACTGCCCTCTGGTGGTGAACTATCATAACTACAGACATTCTTCATATAAATTGTTAAACCGGATGTTTGTTTTAATGTAAAATTTTATAACGTCAGATCAAAGTTAACTCCAAACAGTGAATCAAAATATGTCTGAATAACAAACTAGACAGAAATCTGTGATAATGACTCAGGATGTCTTTTAGTTTTTCTCTAAACTCCACATTAATGGATATTAAACATAAATAATGCGGCATTATCAGGGCTGTAGTTCCCACTATGGGCACCAGAGGGCGTAAATACCCCGCTCTGAATATAGAGGTGAGTTTGAAGAGCTGCAGCTGGTTTCTGGAAATCAGTGTTTTATCTGTCAGTGTGAACTAGAAGCATCTCCACAGAGTTGAAAACATCCCGCAGAGACTCTGAGCGGAGCTAACGATGCTAACAGACTAGCAGCGGCTTCAGAGGAGCTGTGGTTCTTAAAACTGGAGCTTCAGCTCAAACAGAGCTGAAACAAACTCTGGTTTAGGCGATAAGATGCTGAGCTTCCGGTCTGAAGGTAGAAAAATATTTATGAAAAGTTTAATTATCCTGCAAACAGTCAGAATAATGTTGATATTTTAGCTGCAGAGCCGCGAACTGAACTATTAATATCAGAGCAGGGCGGTTTCTGCCCTCTAGCGGACACAGATGATAATTACACCTACTTGATAAAGTTAGAGCGTTTACAAACTACATTCACTTCCGGTGAGTACTTTCACATTAAGAGCCATAGAAACGAGTTCCTCTGTTAGCTTTCATTTGAAATAAGACATTTTACTTCTGTTGTTTTTCTCTCTGAAACAATAAACGTTTATTCAAAAGCAGCAAATTAAATTTTACTCATCTCAAACTGAAATGATTATCAATTCATAAAAGTATTTTAATAACATTAAGAGCAGCCCCATCTCTGACCCGGTTCCCTCTCTGACCCGGTTCCATCTCTGACCCGGTTCTCTCTCTGACCCGGTTCCATCTCTGACCCGGTTCTCTCTCTGACCCGGTTCCCTCTCTGACCCGGTTCTCTCTGACCCGGTTTCCTCTGACTCTCTTGCGTTCATGAAATCAGTTCCTTCATTCAGAGACTCAAACTGAAATGTTCTTTAGTGAAGAAGAAACTTCATCTGGTTCTGATGTTGAAGCTGCAGCTTGAATCCGTCTCAGGATTCGGATCAGAATCCAGTTCGTATCACCGATCAGCATCACTGTGGCTCCAGAACCTGGCCTATCTCTACCTACAGGCCGGTTGAGGCCAAGAGGTCAGAGGGCAGAACCAGAACTGGACCTGGTGCCGTCATGTCGATGTTTTTTAGATTTAATCTAAAAATTAAAGATTAAATCTCTCTAATATAAATTAGAGAGATTTTAGATTCTCTCTAAAGTCTCAACTTTTAGAGATTCTCTGGAGATAAAACAGAAAATTACAGTTGGAATAACAAAGGTCAACAGTTTGAATTATGAGACAAGAGTTTGTGATAATTTATTAAAGAATGTGACTTTTACACTAAAAGGTGTGGAAAGAAGAATCCAGTCAAACTTTTGCTGTTCTGCCAACAAAGTTTATTTATTGAGTCATTTGCACCAAAGCAGCTTTCAAAATGGCCGCCCTTACATCCACAGTCCATCAATTAACCAGTGAAGCCCCGCCTCTCATTTGCCCGGCCAATCAAAGTGCAGCCGGTTCTATAAAAGAGTGTTTGAGGCGGGCCTCTTCTTTAGCAGAATCCCAAGATGGCTGCAAAGGACTCACCCTGAAGGTAGCAACATTTCACAGACAAAGACTCATTTACACGCTGGAATTCAACAAGTTTTAGAAAAACTGAGTCCTTCCTAACAGAGACATGAAGCAACACGACAATGACCTGATTTCTGGAGCCTCGGCTCAAAACTCTGAGCTAAATAGAGGCTAAAAGCAGCTCAAGGTTCTGAAGCTACGATTCATAAGATGCAGGAGGAGAAACTCTGGAGAGTTTTTAGTTATTTAGTAATAAACTTTTCACAGTATTGCTGCATTTCATCTGCCATATATAATTATCAATAATGACTTGTTCATCTCTTTCCAGGTGAGCTGTGGTCTCCACTGGATGCAACAGCCAGAAGAGAAGCACACCAGTGCAGCAGAGGGCGCTGTTCAGGTGAGCGGTACCTCACCTGAAACCCACCGGAGGAGACAGGAAGTGATTTCATGTCCTCAACTCCTCAGGATGTCGATTGACTTCATACTTGCTGCAGCATCCAGTAAAAACAGAATCGGTTCAAACTTTGGCACTTTGCTGTTCAGGCCAACAGCTTTAGGTCTGTTGGACTTAAAGCTCAGAGTTTCTCTTTGAATAACTATTTAATCATTTTTCAGTTTCCAGTCTGCCATTTTCACCGTCTCTCCAAAGGAGAGCGTCTTCATTCCCGCCTCCCAGATGGTTGTAGCTCTGTAAGGTGATGGAGTTCAGGGCTGAGAGCTTCCAGCCTCAAATACTCACATGTTCAAGTTTAAAGAACGACTTCAAAACTAAAGTATAAAGAATCTAAGAACTGAAATCGCCCCAAAAACAAATGATTGAACAAATAAAGCAAGCTGAGCCTGATGAACCAGATGTATCTGGCTCTGTTTGTACTTGTATGACTTTGTTAGCAGCTTTGACCTCTCAGTCTGAGAAGAGTCTCCTCTGAAGGAGAATCCTTTTCCAGATCAAACTCATCCAGATCTTTTTCTGATGACGGTAAGATGAAGACCAGAGCCGACCACTGAGCAGGAGACAGTTTACCAGAGGACAGACGTCCTGAACTCAGAGACTGTTGGATCTCCTCCACTAGAACGATGGTTCAGTTTCATTCAGACAGTGGAAAAGGTTGATGATCTTCTCTACAGGCAGATTGTCGCTGATGTTTTCTTCTTATGTACTGAACTGTCTCCTCATTGGTCTGAGCTGCTTCCTGTCTGTGTGTACGAGTCTCTGATTGGTCTGCAGCGACAGACCCAGCAGGAAGCGGACGACCAGGTCCAGGTTTCCATTTGGACTTCTTGAACAGCCATCTACTGCTCTGATGAATCATTTGTTTCTGTTCTTCACTGCAGTTCTGTTTCCAGGATGTTGAAGAAAAGTCCTAAATCAGTAACTGGCAGAGTGAGAGAAACGAAAACCTGCTGCTGGTGTTGATGTGTCAGTTCACTGGAAAAGGTTTTCACTGGGTGTAATTGTGACGTGCAGAAGAGAAATCCTGAACCAGGAAATATTTCAGTTTAGTTAAGATTCCTCAGATATTCCTGAGCTGAAAGCTGCGACACTTTGTGTGA